TCTTTGGAGTTAGATTATTTATCTGATTTGTGAGAAATATTTGCATATGTATTTCTTAGCTGCATTGACATGTCAGATGCACAGTGGTAGCTGTCTCCGCCTGCTAATCCTCTAATAACATTCTGGTGATCAAATTCAATGGCCCTGCGCGGAGCCTCGGAGCAGCTGATTGCTGAGTAGGGAGGAAAAAAAAATAAACCAGCGAATCTGATTGCAGCTCTCTGCTGCATCCCCATCCCACAATCCCTTGCAGCATTTGCTGCAGTCTTTCTACACAGGCTGAGTGAGAAAAGGATGTGCTAAATAAAGATTGATTGGTTTGAATCCTGAAGGGGTCTCCCACTTGTAAATGACCCAGGGAGAAAAAAACATTCATGACGACTTCACTGGGCCTCCTCTTCCATTTTTCTTTCCACCCGTCCTCTTCATGGAATGGAGCATCATTCCTTAGGGCACAGAATCTCTTGTGCATTTAATAATGATTGTGTTGTGATAGGAATTCCTTAACAGTTTTATGTGTGAGGCTTGAAATATTAGCAGATGATGATTTGTTCGTTTGGATTACTGCGGAACTGCAGCTCCGTCCCTGCAAGGATTTTGTCCTCAGCACTGCACTGATTAAGCTATTTTTCTACAAAGATGGGTAGGTCTGAAATTCTCAAGTTTGCTCAGTGGCTGGGTTGCTCTGTTTTGGCCCCTGATTGTTGATCATATTTCTGCATGCTGTAAGAATGAAGAGGGTTGTTGTGTTTTAAACAAGGCACTAAGCTGATTGCAAGAGTGGGAGAGAAAGGAATGCGAATTTAGCTTATCAAGCCTTTTACACAAGTGGACTGTGTGTGGTGGTTCTGATTTACTTAGTGTGTTCTGTATTGGCTAATCTGGGGCTTCTGCTGCTGCTAGAAATGGCTTAAATCTGTTTTTTATTCCTAGAGACTGTGGACAGGTGATCTATCTGTTTTAAGGACTTCTAACCTTCAGCTCTCCCAGTCCTTGAAGCAGGATTATTTAGGCTCCCCACCCTTTATTACAGCTCTGGAGGCCTAACTGTTCTTTTGGAAATGTTGCCATTGGAAACCTATTCATTCATAGTACATGAATAGACTCTCTAGATTGTGAATACCATTGATAAGAAGAGGATGAAAAAGCTGCAAGCAATTTGTTCTCCTCAGGCTGTGCTTTCAGGCTAGTTGCTGGCTGGATGGATTTAAGAGACAGCAGTGTATCAATAACAGAGAATTGTACTCTTTTAGGAATAAAGTCCTGTGAAGTGAACGGTTACTTGATTCCCCAATGTCTTTTCTTGGCTGGGAAACTATTAGAAAATTTTCAGGAGTTCCAGAGCTCATTTGAGGATACCTGTAGAAAGGGTGCATTGTTCTATTACGTCTCTATTTACCTGAAACAACTCTTCTGGAACTGTTATTTGCTATACCTAACGTGATTTTTTTCTTTTCCCCCTTTTCCAGTGCTATAGGAAGTTCCTTTCATATGGGTGGGGCTGCACCCTGGCTTTCCTGAAGGCAAGAATGCATAGCTGGGCAAAGCTTTCCACTAGCTTAGAGAGCCATTGTTTTCTCCTTTATTTGCTGTCTAGTATATTTTAAGTGAAAATCGTGTCTCCAAGCAGAAGGAAAAGGAGTAATGCTGTTTCTGGGGTGGCTGGGAAGATCCTTGAGCCTCAAAAAGACGACAAGGGGAATATATTTCAAAACCCTTTACTGCACTTGGTTTAGTGAACCCGCATTTCCTTTTAAGCATGTGTGTGTTATATATAGATAAATGGGTGGGGACTTACGTCTTTGGGACTTATGTCATTGTTTGCTGCAATGTTTCCTTGTCCTTTAGCTTTGCATGTTTGAATTACAAAGTGTAACTATATGGAGAAGTGATAGCCCTGTTTTGAAAGCTCATGCTTCAGCTTCTCTATTTTGATTGTGAGACATAATGAACCTCTGAAAAGCACTCTGGCAGTTTTTGAGCTCAGAAGATGCTACTAAAAAAAAGAGCATTTTTCTTGTAAAAGTAGTGTTACTTTGCAAAAATCTCCCACTGCTAATACATTTAAAACTTATGTTGCTGCAAGCATAGCAGTAAATCAGAAAAAATACTATCTGGTGAAATTTAAAAACAATGTCTAAAATCTCCAGATTTTCTTCAAATAGTCTTTGATTGTACAATTGCTTTTATCGAGTAATTGGGCAAAATCATCCTTCTCATAGCTACATCACATTCATCAAGATTACATGAAAGGTGGAGTTGCCTTAGAGAGGCAACAGAATTCTGCAAATCCCATACTAAAAAAAAATTTTAAAGGGACCATTTGTGTAAGAAGTTGCCTGTACCAGGTAGTGGCCAAAGCTTGAAATGCACAGATGAAATTCTATTTCCAGGTGCATGTTTTAAATCTGAATTTTGTGAGCACAGGGGATAAATGACAGTCATGGCCTGCTGCATTTCAGACAAAACATAGAATATTAAAAGCACTTATTTCTGAATCATTAATGGTTTCTTTCATTGACAAAGCTTACAGCGTGAGCATTTGAAAAATAAAGTGGCTGGCATGAGATTAGTGTATGAAATGCTAAAAATTACTTGGTTTTGTTTGGTATAGCTTTTCCTGTAGTTTCCTTTAGTTTGAGTTCAATCTCTAACAAAAAAATAATACTGTGTGTCCAATTTGGAAACCATGTGTTTGATAAGAAATCCTCCTGCTTCTGATAATCTTTTCTGTTTTGTTTGGGTCCTTGCCCCTGACATTTAGGGAGGGAGAGTGGAAGGCAAACACAGCTGTGTAAATGGTGAAATGAATTTTCCTTTTGAAGCATGTCACTGATATTCTGCATGTTATGCTGCCAAATGTATTAATACGTTATTGGGTATTTGACTGTCTGGTCTTTCTACTCTGCTTTGTAAAAGATATTTTAGTTCCACTTCTTGTAAAGCCACCTTTAACTCAAGCTTTTTAAAAGTAACACGGTTTGCAACTTGATCTCCCGAGGTTTATTCTTTGTGATTTATGGCATTTAAATAGGAAAAAATAATTTTTGTTTACATAATACTCACATTTTATCTTACTATCGGGAAAGAATTAAAAAAAAAAACCATTAAAATATATGAAAAATATTATTATCAATCAATTATCAAAAATATTATCAATTCTGAAATCATGCATTTTTGGGTCATGAAAAAACATGATATTTTATGAGTATTAGAGCAATTTTTAACAATGCAGTTTCTCCTTCCTTGAGAAAAAAGGAAACAAAAGGGCCTGCCATAAGTGTTTTCCATTGAATTAAATGTCAGCTACTGCTGTTGGGTTATTTGAACTGTGAATAACTTTATGCTGCTGTATTTGCTAACACAGAGGCGATGCCCCAGGAACTGCTTATCAGGGAAGCAAGCACAGCTGACTTATGATCCATAATCACTGTCATTATCCTAGAAATAGCCCCTTGCTCAGTGTAATTAGTAAAACATACCAGTATGGCTAAGTACGCAGCTCAGGAAGAGCAGTATGGGTTCAACTCTGACAGACTGGTGTGCCATTCATTCAAGCACATGAAGCAGACCTAGTGTAACACTGACAATAAAATGCTACACGGGTCACGCAAATCATTCTGCAATTGAGTGACCTTTGAGCATGATCAGCAGAGGCTTTGTTGTTTCTGTCTTGGAAAGCCTGAACTGCCCTCAAGCTAGATCTCAAATTGTCTGAAATGGGCGACTAAAAAGGTGTAGAAGTTGTTCAGGAAGACTTTAGAATCCTCAGGAGTGTACCTGCAGAGAAGAAGCCCAGCTGGGCTTGCAGCTCACAGAGAAGAGTTCTGCTGTGGGTGCAGGAGATCTGGCAGATCAAACTGTTGTGACAGTTGCACCTGCACCTCCTAGCACTTCAGCCTGCTAGAAATGCTGACGGAGAGGAGTTCCTGCTGGGCCACCCTGCCAAGGACTCTGCTTGCCAGGTTTACCTAAACTATTTTAGCAGGCAGTTTACTTTTTCCTGTGGCTGCTTCCATCCTTTTCCTCCTAACTTCTCTTTTCACATTTTCTATTATTGGCTATGTATCTCCAGCTGAAAAGAAGCTACATTTTTCTCTCCCTGTGCCTTGTTCCAGGACAGGAGGTGTTCCAAGCCCATTGCCATCTCTTTAACCTGAGATTTTAATTCTAACAGTTAGTAAACTTTTTTCTTAGCCTTTTATTTCATGCTTTATATGCTCAGATTGTGAAGAATCCTCAGTCTTAATCAATCAATCCATCCTCAGTAGCAAGAAACATGATTCTTACTACTAGTTCTTCCCAGAATGACATTTTTCTTGCATTTATTATTTGGATGGGCTTCATGTATCCTTCACCCTACCGTTGGCAATTCTCAGTGGCTATCAGTTGCCTCTTCTTTGGTCTGTTTCTTTTGTCATGAGGATTTTCATTTTGCCTACCTCATCCCTATTGGTAATGCAGAATTTGAGCATTCCCTTCTCAGGAGCTGGCTGGTTCTGGAGCTTCCTTCTTAAGGGCTTCCTGGAGTCAAAATCTACCATATTTTTGGCAATACCAGCACCGACAAGGGAAAAAATTGTTAGGTGAACCATTTTCAAACTCTGTGATACAGCCATTTGACAGTTCCAGTTTGAGCATTTTGCCAGCAGTAGGTATAAGAAATCTGATGTTAGCACTGGCTTAACCTATTGGCACAAGAATGTTTTTATCATGGGTTTTCTTTAAAACCAGACAGCCCCGTAACTCTTTCAGTCCAGAGGCAGCATGCTTTTCCAGAATGCTCAGACAGAGGTTTTGTAGATGTTGCTGACTGTTTCCCTGGCTCTCACCAGTGATAAACCATTTTAGAAGTTTAATTCTTTCTTGTTTTGGTTTCATATGGAAATATGAATTCCTGCATAAAGATAAAACATGAGTGGATTAGTTAATGTTTTTGTTATTTCGTGGAGTTTTTAAGCCATTTTTCTTCTTTTATTCTTTTCCCCACCCCATTCCAGCAGTGTGCAGGGTAGAAGGGAACAGGACCCATATGTCAGTGGTCTAGGATGGCCAGTGAAGGCTCCAACATCCCAAGTCCTGTGGTCCGTCAGATTGACAAGCAGTTTCTGATTTGCAGCATATGCCTGGACCGTTACAAGAACCCCAAAGTACTTCCCTGCCTGCACACTTTCTGTGAGAGGTAAGTCCTTTCCTCGTGCTGGTAACTCAGGATGTCGTGCTGCAAGCACAGGACAAGGCATTCTTTAGTGGACAAGGACTTTTCCCTTTACTTGTAAATATCGTGTTAAGGCATGATATAGTCTGGGAAGGCTGGAGAGGCAGGGATATAGAAAATCACATTTGTGGCAGGCAGGAAGAAGAGACAGCAGTGGCATATTTGGGATACATTCCCTTTATGCAAGAGTAAACAAAAAGTAAATCCAATTAAACTAATGAGTATGGTTACTACAGTGTGAAAGGTGATGATAGCCAGAATTTGGACGTCAAATTAATGGTCTCAAATTTATTCTGATTTTCATATAATTAGAAACAATAAAAAAATCTTTGTTGATTTACTTAGCCAATAAGTAATTATCCCATCCTTTAATATCCAAGGGTTAGACATGATATACACATTATTAATAACCTGAGATTAAATGTCTTCATTATTCTGCAGTTTGATTGACTGAAGCAGGAAAACTCTCTGGAAGCAATGTCATAAACCAGCAACCTGCCTTTTGCTGTATTTGGCTGAATGAATTGAATATGCATAATGATACTTTAATGTTGCATTATCCATCAAACTGTGGTGAAAATACAGCACCTGCAGAAAAATTAGCTGAAGAATTAGTAGCTAGAGTTCTTAATCTGATGATGGGATGCAACTCCGGATTGTATATTGAGTGGCAGGAGAATTTTTATAAATGGTATGTAGTGTGAACACTTATTTAGTTTAGAAGATTTCCACCTCTTAGAAGAATTGTGGTATGAATCTCTAACTTTGCACAAGGTGAAAGAAAAATTGTGGATCTCTGCTTGTCAGATGAACTGGTCATTTGTAGAAGATTAGGAAATCCCAGCATTAAAAAAGGCAGCACTGAACCTCTTACTGAAGTCAGTGAGACAAGAATTTCACCATCATGTATTAAGTTTCCTGACTTCTGTTCAAGTGTAAAACCTAAGGTTAGCTTCTGGTTTTCACTGTAATCCTCTTAGGCTGATCTGGTTATGGAGAGAGGCAGGAAGAACTCTTCCAGTGTAGTGCTGACATGCAAAGCCTAAATTCTCCCTTCACAGAGCCCTTACTGGAGGGTCAGGAGGAGGGCTGCCGGGGAAGATGAAGAGTGGTGCAGCCAAAATCCTTGGAAAAGGATAAGAGCTGTGGAGATGTGTGAGGTCACACTTTCTCAGTTGGCATCCCATGAAGAATTTGGTGTAGCACTGTTCCCCTTAAGAACTGCATTCTGCAAAGCTTCTTCTGCTTACAGGACCATACTGAACATGGTATATTGCATGCAACTGTATGTTGCATGCCCAGCCAGGTGTTAACTTCAATTTCAAGGCCAAAAGTGGCATTAAGTCTCACCTAGGCCAGCTTGCTGCATATTGTGCATATTGTTGATTGCTGAATTTTTGTGTCAGGTTTATACTCAATGAAATTTATTTTTTCTGAAAAATGCCAACACTGCCCTCCCAATCAAACACAAACAAAAATTTCCTTCAAAACTTCTCTTAACATAAATGATGATGACCTAGCAGGTCATGTTGTAAAGAAAGCTTTGTTAATTTTGGCTAACTGCCAAATAATTTTCCAAATTGAAACAAATGAAAAATTTCCTTTGGTTTTATTGGGACCATGTTTTACCTCTGAAACACTAAACCCAAAAATACAAGTTATGAAAGGAGATTCTGTTGGAAAGACAAGGGTCAAGCACTGGTTACTCAGTTAAAGGCACAGGCTCAAATACTTCATGTCGTCAGACTTTATCTGATTACAATTTTTACTGCAAAAACTCCCTGTGTGCAGGATGTAGTAGGTGTCTGAAATCATGATCAACTGCACGAATATCTCAAGAAAAGGCATGTAACGATTTTAACGATGTCTGCTTATTGAACTTTTTTTCATCTGGCAGAGTAAAAAAAGGTTTAAAAGAAAAATATATTCTTCATAACCACTTTTGCTTCAGAAGCCTGTTTGATGTACTTTTCCTTTTATAAGTAGAGGTAGCACTATTTCAAACTAGCTCTTTAACTGATGAAAAGGGGTTTTTTCCCTCTTTGATGATACTTTTCCTTTCTTTTTCCTTCCACCTTCCTTTCCCCATAGGTGTTTACAGAATTACATTCCAGCCCATAGCTTAACCCTTTCTTGCCCTGTGTGCCGCCAGACCTCCATTCTGCCAGAGAAAGGGGTTTCTGCACTCCAGAACAACTTCTTTATTACCAACCTGATGGATGTCCTGCAGCGAACGCCAGACAACAGCATTGAGGAGTCCTCCATCTTGGAGACTGTCACTGCTGTTGCTGCAGGCAAACCGCTCTCTTGCCCCAATCATGATGGAAATGTAAGTGAGGTGGCCTCTTGTGTTGTATACATATATATGTGCTGACTTGTCTGGTTTTCATCAATGCCTTTTTCTAAAGAGAAAGCAAGGGAAGTGGAATCGCACTATTTCATTGTTTTTATAATATATCAGCAAAAGACAACCAATTCTTCAATTAAATGCTCTTAGTGGAGTAGTGAACTAGTCAAAGTATTATTTTATCTTACTAATCATCTGGGATGAAGTTGTCTTCTGGCACATTTGGTCAGAATTATTGTCCTGCAAGTACTGAACCTTGTGCCTTTACTTCTTTGGATTGGGTTTTCTTAGCCATCGTACTTGTAGTATCAGCTGTTGCTGTGGGTACTTGTGTGTTTGTCTGGCAATATGTGACAAGGACCTTTTGAGTTTTACTGACCCACACACTGGGGCAGTACCAAAAGGTATGTGAACATATTAACATAGAACCGAATAAAAGGGAGTCCTAGCTTTGGATGCTTTGGATCATCACAGGCTAGAAACAGAGAGCTTCTGTTTATCTGCAGTGTTTTGTGGATTTCTCATATCAGTTCTTGGAGGCTGCTTTCTTTTTTCCCTCCACCTACTCTTTTTACCTAGCAACATCACACACATCCTCAAATCATATCAGTATATTAATTGGCAAGTACCCTCAACTGAGTTAATATTTACAGATTACTGCAAGAACAGCTCTAACTGCTTACTTCACAATCTTCAGTATTAACCTGTGTAACTTCATGCTAGGCACATGTGCTCCTGACTCATAGCTAGGCTTATGCAAACTCGCAAGTAGAGACTATAAAACTCAGTGATGCTGTGTTGTAAACTGAATGTTGTGCTTCTATGCAAGCCAAGAAACATATATGTCAGTAGTTTAAGACAACTTTCTGGGAACTGTTTTATTTGATACTCAGTGTAGGTACATTGGTTGTATAGGAGTAATTCAGCTGATAGGTAATGATTACTGCAATAGAGAAATAGCTCAGTTCCTTCTCTATTGGAATTAGGTGGACTCATAGAACTGATGTTGGACGCTCTTATTAATGAATAATTGGTGCTACTTTTTTAATGTGTGCTATACCTATGTGTGTGTAATTGTTACTGATTAGTGCATTCCTAGATTTTTTTTGCATTTTATTTGCTCTCTTTAAAATTAATCATAATTGTTTTCTGGCAGGCATTCTGATAGGAGCCATTTGATTGTGAAATGCAAAAAAGGTCAAAATTGAGGCATTATTTGTATTGTATTTTAAATTATCAGCTGATTATTATTTGGGTATATTTAAAAAAACCTGGCTTGTCTAAAACAAAAAATATTCCACCTTATACTTCTGAGAACTCCTTTATAGGGAAAGATGCATTTGTAAGTTCTCTAAACCTACTTGGCTTGCCTTGAAACATAGCATGCCGTTTAGGATGCTGAGTAGTGTGTGATGGGAACATCCTCTCGCTTCAGAAAGTATCTGGGAGGCTTGGGGATAGCCTGAGGATGACTCCAATTTAAAGCTTTGTGAAGCTTAGAAATGAAAAGCTAAGCGCATGCATTATTTCTTATGATGGGAGGAGCTGATGTAAGATTTGGAGAGAGCTGCTTGAGGCTGGCCAGGTGGGTTTGGCTGCAAGGGTGCACAGGGCAAGGTGCTGGGCACCTTAGGCCTCACTGAGGAAATGGGATTATGCTGGCTTCATAGGTTCAGGACACAAGACCACTGTGTGGCAAGTAGGTTAGATATTAGGAAATATCTGAAGAGTCTTCCCTGGAGTGTGCTTCCCAGGGAAGTGGTCACAGCACCAACCCTGCCAGAGTTCAAGAAGCATTTGGACAATGCTTTTAGGCACATGGTGTGACTCCTGAGGTGGTCCTTGGCAGAGCCAGGAGTTGGGTGATCCTTGTAGGTCCATTCTAGCTCAGGGTATTCTGTGATTCTAAGTGCCTGGCTGCTAGTAACTTTACTAGCTTCAGGAAGTGAAAAAGGATTGAGCTGGCAGCTAGAGGAGGATGCCTTTACAGAACCAGCAGTCATTCTGCTTGAAATACACCCTCCATTAATGTTTATATATTGCTTGGGCTAGGGTCAGACCCATTGTATTTTTACTATTTGCATCAAATATATTTCTTTTAAATATTACCAGTTTTTCTTCATATTAGCTTGGAAATAAGTTTCTGTTTAAACAAGTTTTTTCAATAATTTCAGCCATCCTGGACTTAAACCTCTCTGATTAAAATGAGATAGAAACTGATGCAGAGATACTTTCTCATTTGCTTGCCTGTTTGCTTGTAACCTAGCCTTCCTCAGGCCATGTAGATTAGATACTTTCCCTTCCCAGTTGGTCCCCTATTCCCATCACTCATATTTTCCATATGCATGTATGTTTACTTTATTCCTTCTGTGCACATTCTCCTGTCCTCTCTTGTGGCATTTTTGTTCCGTGTGTTCTTATGAAGAAAGAAATTTAGTTTGTAATATCTTAATACAAAAGATGGTTACCTGTGCCTGAACTATAAAAATTGCTCATTTTGACCCAACACGGAGCACAAGTATGTTGTTGAATATTATTGTTAAATCAGGGTAATAGGGCACATATGGAACTTTTGAGCCTATTGGAAGATTCTTGTCTTCTACCTAGACATTAAAATAAGATTGGCTTTATTCTCAGCTGCAAAACACCTGCATCTCTTGCGTATAAAAGCATTCTGGAATGGAAACAATGATCCACAATCATTTAGGGGCAGGTACAGAAGCCAGGGCAGGGAAGGCTATGAAATTCTAACTCTATTGTCTGTAATGTGTGGTGTAGCCTCTGAAATGTGTATAGTTGGGTTTTGTTTGAATTTGAACTGAAAACCAGCTCAGAGTGGAGGATCCACATTTTTACAATGTAGAACGTGGGCCAATGTATTTTCTGCTGCTAGAGTGTAACAAGAAAGGATACACAGTATTAAATTAAATGCTTTTAACAAAAGAGAATGCCTTATCTCTGACTAGGTTTTTCTCAAAAGATCATAGCATAGCTTGGCAGCTTGACAGGCATAAGATCTTGCTTACAAAAACACTTGCTGAACTTGTAGAGTTGCTGCTTACTGACTGTATGCTTCTCTTAGAAAAAATAAAAATCACCTATCCTTGATATTCTGATGAAGTGGCTTCATATCTTACCTTTTAAACCCTTGTTTTTTCTCCTCACCTCTGTACTTTGCACCATATCACTTACTCATGTATCCCATTAAAGTGTAGTTTTTGCATAGGGCAAAGGCTGTGACTAGGGAGGGAGAGAAACTCACATTCTAAATTTTATCAGGGCTCTCAGAGGTACCCTCAGGTAATTCAAACTTACATTCTTCTGAAAGCCAAAGCATAGAAAGCTAAGGTGCACACTAGCCTTGGACAGAGGAATTAAGCATGTGTTTGTGACATGAGGAAGGTGGGTGGCAAAGAGCTGACTCATCCTTTTTCTGTAGACTGCTCTTTTAATTCAAACAAATAGAAAGCAGAGGATGAGCAATGTGATTTTTCAAATGTGATTTTAGAGAAGAGGGGCTTGTGATTGGTGAGAGCTTTTTCCTCAAGATGTGAACTTTGAAAGGCTGGAGTCAGTGTGTCTTGGCTTTGTGAAAGCTAGTTCAGAAGTATTTGCATCCTTGATTATGCAGTTTTAAAAGTTTCCATAAATTCAGTTGAATTACAATAGTGGAGATGTGCATGGGTCTCCAGTTACATCATTGTGCTGAAATATGCTGGTCTGGTTTAAGGTGGGAATTAGTGGATGAGATTTCAGAACGAGTGGGTATTAATTCACATTTCATTACAGCTGATGGGAATATTCTCTTGAATTTGGTGGAAATACAACTGAAGCCAGTCCTGGACGCTACAGTATATCCTGCCAGGAGCTCTCTTGAATTTGGAAAAGAGAGGCAAATGTCATTTTCTGAGATGTTTTGTAAGGCAAATCTGTCATAATGAAAAATTTTCTGGGAGTGTCACAAAACATGATGCCCACATTTGGCATGGAGGGGAGAGATGAAAAGCCAGTAATACTTTTCTGTCTGTAGTTAGAAATTAGTCTTGCCTGATTAAGAGATGCTAGAAAAAATCTTAGGAAATCAGCCTATCTAGACAGTTGAAACCTAAATTGTATTATTATTAGGTTTTCCTTCTCCTTCATCTATGCACAATATAAAAATTATAGTGGGAAATGAAAGCTGCTTCTCTCAAAACGTTTTGAATTTGAGGCAGATTCCTATATAGAGATACATATTAGGTCTTTGTGATCAGTTTGCTATTATCATTTGAGCTTCTGTGTTTCCCTGATGCTTGAATAAAGAGGAAGGAAGTTGTTTAGGCTGAACAACCTTTATGCCAATTAGATGCTTCCTTTCTTATATATGTGGCTGCAGATATGATGTTTATTATGGGGTAGTCAGTAGAAAGCAGAAATACTAAATTATTCTAATCACTTTATCCAAAGATAAAAATACTGAATAAATAAAGGGCTTGTTAAAATATCTTGAACTGAAGCAGTAAATTATAAAGTGGCAGAAAGATGAATTTTGGACACTCATGCAAAAGAAATTTTTTTTTTTTTAGCCATATAAGAAGATGTCAGAGTTTCCTAATAAAATATTCTTCCTCTTGGCTGCTTCTGATTGCAGACTTTTGAAGCCTTTGAAAATAACTGAAATCTTAAACTCTGCTTAACTGATTTTCTCTATGCACTGTAAGAATGCATCACATTGCATGCCTACCGAGGTAACTATCAGGCCTCTATCAGGCCTTGGAGGATCCACTACAATGAGAGTGCTAAATTCACAGTGACTGGAATAGTGTTCATAAGGGTTGACATTGTTTAGAAGGTCTACTTTCTTTTCCTGTTGCTGATCTATTTGATGTTACACGGGTTATTTGGATCAAGTTTTAAATTTTCTCAGCTAACATGAGTGGCTGACAAATGACTAAACCCTCACTGCATGTGAATCCTGTATCTTCTAAATTGAGATAAGAGGGAAGAATGGGAATAAGATTGAAAGGAGCTTATCAGAGGAAAATCCCTGTTAATGCCAACAGCCTTGTGCAAATCATGGTTCTTGCTTCCCCCTCCTTAATTCTCAAGATGCCTTCGAGCAGCCAGCTATTTTGCACGGTGCTGTTACAAATCCCTCTGCTCACCTGAAAACAGCTGTTTCTACACAATCATCTCATCTACCAACAACTCCAGCACAACCATCTTTGTACAAGATATCTGAGTGCCAGAAGCATCAGCTGAATTATTCAAGATTCTGATGCTATGCCCTGAATGCAAAAGAGCTGCCAGTGTCTTGCTTTGACACATATACTACGAACTTCCTTATATCCTTTTTTATAAGCCTAAAATCCTTTGTGCCCAAGGACTTCCTAGCTGTAAAAGAAAGTCTCATGCTAAATTTGCATATATGTGCAGTATTTTAATAGTGTATGATTTTGGGCACAGCAATTCTCTGTTTCTTTCCCTTGATGAATATATTCAGAATTTGGGGTATCTATTACATGCAAAGATCTAATTTTATCTCTAAAGAGCATCTTGCTGGGTACTTAACAGGTTGAAATGATCTCTTCCTCTTTCAAGTCTAGCTCAGCACTCCTATTACAATCTCAGATATAAGGTTTTAATGATTTTAAGGGATTAGTAATGGGATATGGAGATTTTTACCTGCAGCCTGTTGGCTCATTTAGGGTGCTTTCCTCTAGCAAATAAACTTGCTGTTTGGTGATTTCCATTGAGTTTGTGTTTCAAGAGTGGCCCTGTTATAAAAAACAGTTTACATTTTCTTTAGCAGACCCTCTGGGAAGACTAAGGATGGAGTTAGTGAGGGTTTTTTTGAGTTGTTTCATGAAGTACATAAGAGAGACACCAAAACTTACTATTGCACAATATAAAGATGATGTTAGGACCAGCAATGAAGTCCAACATTGTTCACAGGCTGCCGTTCTGACACTTTATGATAGAATAAAATGCTTTTAAAAGAGCATTTTGATATAAAATATCTAAGAATAACAGCTATCTTTTAGGCAGTAAATTATTGGTGCATAAGAAAACAGAAGCTTTGTCTCTGAGCTTGGACTTATAAATGAGTTCAAGGCTCAGTAAGATGTGCTTTGAGTTATGTTACTGCTGCCATGTTTGAGTGTAGAGTGCACTTTTCCAGGTGATGGAGTTCTACTGCCAGTCCTGTGAGACAGCCATGTGCCGGGAGTGCACAGAGGGAGAGCATGCAGAGCATCCCACGGTACCACTCAAGGATGTGGTGGAGCAACATAAGGCTTCCCTCCAAGTCCAATTGGATGCTGTCAACAAAAGGTATGGAGACTTCGCTGACTATTTTCCATTTTCAGTTTTATCACTGGGTTCCTGTGCTGACTGGGGTAGATGTTTTATTTACCTAGGAAATGGGGATAGTGAGGCTAGCGTAAGGACGAAAAATCCATTAAGTGAGATGTACTGAGGGGTTACCAAAAAGAGCAAAAATTGCTATCTGTCTTCCACAAAATAGAGGCAATTAGAAATGCAAGTGTCTTCCAAAGAAGAGGCATAACATGCTAAGGAGTAAACTACTGTCAAATTATGAATTTATAATAGCTAAATAAATAGTTCTGGGTGTTAAAAAGACTGGTACAAACACTACAGTGACAAAATGGCTTAAAAAAAAAGGAAAAGGTGAGATAAATCTAGTGATATCTTCTTGAGTAGATATACAGCATAAAGGACAGAGGATCCAAGGCCTCATTGTTGGTAATGCCTGAAGTCTAATGGATTTGCACAGGGGAGGACTGTGGCTTAGCCTTATTTTATCAGACCAGACCCACTGTGTGGTTTTAAAAGGAATGAACTTGCTTCTGGGAAATGATCAAATTTGAAGACGGCCTTCTGATGGGAGGGTTTAATCAAAAGATATCAGGTCAAGGGCCAGTGTTTAATGACTTTTGAAATAGCAGTATTTGTAATTTAATTCCTCCCTCAGGCTTCCAGAGATTGACTCAGCACTTCATTTTATATCGGAAATCATACATCAGTTAACCAACCAAAAGGCTAGCATCGTAGATGACATTCATTCCACTTTTGATGAACTCCAGAAGACTTTAAATGTCCGAAAGAGTGTGCTGCTCATGGAGCTGGAAGTGAATTATGGCCTTAAACACAAAGTAAGGTGCATGTTTTGTTTCAATGTAAAGCTATTAATTTAATCAGCCAGTTTTACAAATGATGCAGGACACCAGTTTGACAAATAGTGTCTGACATTCAGAGAACTTTGCTTTCCTGAAATCAGGTGCTGCAGAGCCTTGCTTGAGGGTGAACCTTGCCTTATAAGATGAGCATGAAGATACGAGTCAAACAATTTATCCTGAAGAACTGCATAAGCCTGCCTGTTTTGCTTCAAAGCACTGTTTTCCTTTCCAGTGCTTGGTAACATATTTCATCTTAGATATCACCTTTTGGAACACAAAAGGATGGGAGGGACATCTTACTTTCTTAGAGGAATGAGAGAGTAACAGATTGCGGATCTGTATTCACTCTTTTACTTCCTATCTGGATGATTTATTCTGAGGGGTTTCCCCCTATATTGTAGTCCAAGCTTTAGAGAAAGAAAACAGAAACCTGTACTTCTATAAAGCAAAGCCTGTAGCCCGGTGGGTAGAAATTTTGTTGAAGATTATTAGGTCTGAATCAGGAAAATGAAAGAATTTTGTCCTTTTTTTCCTGGGCAACAGTTCTCTGCTTTATAAAGAAAGACTTCTCTGTGAAAGTTGCCTGTAAAAGAAAATACCATCAGTAACTGGAGTTTCAAGAGTGCCATTACTGAGCAGCTTGATCATCTCCAGATGTCTGAAGTGGAAGAATGCTGCATTCCTGGATGTAGAATAGGCTTGAAAACATCATTAGAAAGGTGTTGAACTGCTGAGCCTGTGGAAATGGAGGAATATTAACATATGCACAAGATACATACTTTTAGGAACATAAGGAGCCCAAAACCATTGGGGCACAGAATTTAGTAATCTCCAGAGCTAAGCAGCAGCTTACAGAAGTTTGAGCATCAATAATGTGGACTTAATCCCAGGTTCATCTAAATATCTTCACAATGTCACAATGTATTCAAGCTGTCACACTTCCATAGCAAGTGAATATATCCTGTATGTACACAAAGTCTACACAAAATAGAATATGATGTTAAATTACCTTATTGTTGTTTAAAGATATTTAAAATAATTTAATAACTGTGAGCATTAGAGAATCAATTTTTTTGTGAAGTTGTACGTAGGCAGTAAAAGAGGCATTTACCCTGTTTGAATAAAAAAAACCCAACTGAGATTGGATTTTACTTTTGAATGCCTAGTAGCCCTGCAAAATACAATCATTCTGACCATATACTTTTTAAAAATGAAGAAATGAAAGGGCTACACTTTACTAAGAAAAAGTTGGCAGTTCAGTTTGTTGTCCAATGGACTGAAAGTGTGTAAGATGTAAAATACTCTACGTGCATTTTAAAAATTATTTATGTTAGGATTTAATATTTTTTCATTTTTGTAATGAAAGAAAACTGTCTTAAGAAAGTATTGATTTTAAAACATAGCTTCAAATTGCCTCAAAGTTTGTGGCCTGTTATCTGAAGAATATGGTGTTTTGTCAGCCTTGGACTTTATTGGCTGTTCTCTCTCTTTAACCACTTATGCCTTTGAATGAAGACCAAACAGATTAGAAATGCCTTATATTGCATCCTGAGAAGTTTTTGTGTGCCTAGAAAAGCAAATGACTTGAAATTTCAGTGTAGTCTTGAAATTTGTTCATTCTGTTTTAATTGCAAAAGATTTTGTGTTTTTTTCACTTTCCTATATCAGTAACCCATGAGCCTGTATTTTCTCCCATGGATGAAAAGCTTAAAGCTTTGGAAAATTCAGAAAAAAATGCCTTTAGAATTCAGTGGCATTATATAGTGTGTCTCAGCAAGGGAAGAGTATTTCATAGCAATAAATACATCCAGTCTTTTAAGTTAACTTTACATAAATTAAAAAGTTTCAAAAATATTTGACAGTGATGATCAAAAAATAATTTCTCTAATCCACAATCATGTCTATGCTCTAGTTCTTCTATGTAGGAAAAACATAGCAAGTGTGTGACTGGGTACCTTTGTTTGAGGATTTTATCAGTGGAGACTGATAAAATCAGTGGGAGGCAACAGCAATTATTTCTTGACTATCATGAATGTCTCTGCTAGGTTGTTATCCAGGGATCCTTTTTCCAATTGATTACAAAATTGGTTAAAAAAAAAAAAAAAAAAAAAAAGCCCAGTCAAAAGCCCACACCTAGCAATTTTGAGGTCAGTACTCTTTTAAAGGTTAGACTGAGGGCCAGAACTGACCCTATAATAGAAGTTCTATCACAGTCTTAAGAGATGGAGTGGCTACTTGTTGCCCCACCAACATTTCTGGCTACTCAGTCCAACTCTTTCCACTATCCACAACCCATTCTGTATATTTTGCTTTCCTGTCTGCTGAAAGTGAGGAATCAATTTACATTCTTCTAGGGAGATTTTTCCTTTCTTCACTTACTTAGTTCAGGAATCCCACTTTTCCTCAGGATGGATGTTTATCTAGGTCTTGAGGCCTTCTTGTTCATCTCCATAGGGGAGTAATTCAGGAGTAAATACTCCTTGGGCTCTGAAGCAACAGTATCAAGAAGTTTCTTGCAGCCTCTCCTATTAATGGACCTCATGACTCCAAAATGTCTCTGCATTTGTCAACACAACTCAGTTCCAGTAACTGTCTCATTAACTGTGACTCCTGAGAGTTAGATGGGGCAAGGTTCAAACTTCTACATTGGTTGCTGCCTTTTTGCTCAAAAAAACCCCCAAACCAACCAACAACAAAAGCCCAAAACAAAACAGAAGAAAAAACAAAAAAATCCAAACAAGACAAGACACGTGGGGCAATAATTCAATCTAGTGTGATTGTGGGTCTATAAAGTCCTGAATTCCCAAACCAGGGTATTTTTTTGTGTTGTAGCATTGTATTCCAAATACAGGTTGGCGATCAGTATGCTACTTCTTCTAAAATGATGGTTTAAATTAAATTCTAAAATAAGACATTATAAATTTGGTTCCTACAAAGACCTTTAGATGCTACATCTTCCTGGAATAGGTCCTATAACATGATGCTAATCTGGTGTTTGATAATTCACACAGGTCCTTCAGACACAGCTGGATACCTTACTAGAAGGACAGGAAAGCATTAAAAGCTGCAGCAACTTTACGGCCCAAGCCCTCAACCATGGCACTGAAACTGAAGTGCTGCTGGTGAAGAAGCAGATGAGTGACAAGCTGAACGAACTGGCTGAGAGGGACTTCCCACTGCAACCCCGTGAAAATGATCAGTTGGACTTTATAGTGGAAACAGAAGGCCTGAAGAAGTCCATTCACAACCTAGGGACTATTTTAACCACCAATGCTGTTGCCTCTGAAACAGTTGCCACTGGTGAGGGACTGAGGCAGACAGTGATCGGGCAGCCCATGTCCGTTACCATCACAACCAAGGACAAAGATGGGGAGCTCTGTAAATCTGGGAATGCTTACCTCACTGCTGAACTGAGCACGCCTGATGGGAGTGTAGCAGATGGAGAAATACTTGACAACAAAAATGGCACTTATGAATTTTTGTATACTGTTCAGAAAGAAGGGGACTTCACTTTGTCACTGAGACTTTATGATCAACATATCAAGGGCAGCCCGTTCAAACTTAAAGTGGTCAGGTCAGCAGATGTGTCTCCTACCACTGAAGGGGTTAAGAGACGTGTTAAATCTCCAGGCAGTGGTCATGTGAAGCAGAAAGCTGTGAAAAGACCTGCGAGCATGTACAGCACTGGCAAAAGAAAAGAGAATCCCATTGAAGATGATTTGATCTTCAGAATAGGTAGGTAACTTGGCTGTCTGTTGACATGCTTAAAAATAGTTCAGGGAAACAGAATGAAAAAGTTTAGTTATTGTCAACCTAAAGCTGTAAGTAGAGCAACCTGATACTACCATTAGGTCTCTTGACTTTTGTTAATATGTACATTTTGCAAGAACTTCAAAAATAGTTTGCAGCAAATAGTTGAGATTTCAGTTGAGAAATGGACAAATTTGATTTGGGTTATTTTAAAAATTGTTAATAATCATATTACAAAGCTTTTAGTATGGATTAAAGTAATTTCAGGTTGTAATTTCTGCTTCTGTATCTCTTGCTTCTAGTGAGCAGTTTCTGGCTTGACTACCAAATAGTGTTGTGGTTTGACTTTTATTGGTAGTGGTGTTGTTTGTTAGGTGGTTTTTTTTTTGTTGTTTTTTTTTAAACTACTCTCCCCAACACAACATAAACTCTAGAAGTCTTAAATGTTTTCCCAGAAGTTCAGAGCCTTTTGGTTCTGTTGCGATGCAACCATGACCATGTGCTTTATTTTTGAGTTCTACTGTCTCCCCTTCTTTACCACTCAAAGCAGGAAGATGTATTTCATTAAAACAAGAGATATGCACGTCTCAGAGCTTTTGCTCCATGCAATCTCTTGGAGTGTCCACATTTGGGATATATGGATCTCTATTTTATAGAAAAAACAGAGCTGAGAGTAATATTTTGTATTCAGTTTTCAGCCACTCATTTCACAGAATGACCCTACATAGAGATGTTCCTCTGGGCTTATGTATGCATTATCTGAAAGTTCACAGCTTGTTGCAGCAGACCTCTCCTTAGGGGTAGAAATGAGTCAAGACACAGATTCTCATTTAACAATAGAAAAAGGTGTTGTTCTTCTTTACAGCTTTGCCGTCTTGACTCTGACTACAGCAAGCTCCTACTGTAGGGTCCAACGGCAGACTCTGACTGCTGCCTATTTCCTGCTGGACTAGAACTGCAAGTATTGGTTTGCAGACTCTGACCGCAGGCTTTTACCTATCTTGACTACAACTGCAGGCTCTAACTCCACCAGGCCCTGACTGACCTCATTGCAGATCTTTTACTGCAGCAACTCTTTCCCTTGTTTTATTCTTCTTTGTGTCTCTCTGGATCGATTGATTGATTGATCCTTCCTTCCTTCCTTCCTTCCTTCCTCCCTCCCTCCCTCCCTCCCTCCCTCCCTCGCCTGGTCCACCTCCTCCAAGAGCTTCCTGACCAGTCAACCCACCCCTTTTATCACACTTATCTATTAGTCACAGCTGCAACCCATTAGGGCAAGGCTGTTCCTCTTCTTTGCAACAACTTTGGTACAACTGTGACTTATCAGGGGTGAGGTTACCTGTAATCCCTTCTTCTACACCTGCAACACCTGTAATGCTCTAGGGTTTTACAGTCTTCCAAAAGATGTAAAATTATTGAGAGATAAAACTTCTGACATTTTTACAAGGATTGCCTTCATAGAGTTAATTTATTTCCAGTTTCAGCTCACTTAAAAAAGTTAAGGTTTGGTTCATTTGTTGATGAGGTAATGTAAAGTTTATCACTGTTCAACACAATTGCGTCTCTCTGTTTTGAACTAATTGTTGAATTCCTCCAATGGCCCTGGCAAAATCTGGATCTGTATTTTAAACTGGGCGAGATAAATCTTCTATGGCCTGCCAGAAGCTCGTACAGCTGTGTTGGAGAATCATGCTGTAATATTCCTCTGGGCATCCAAGTCTATGGAGTGTGCTATTGTATGTATGCTGATATATGGGCTTTTATGCACAAGTAAATAGATCAGCTACCTAGCAGGGGATTGTTTTCCTGCTTGTATTAACAAGAGATAGCATTAATACAACAGTAGTTCATTTTGCTCATGTGGATGTGTGTGTTGTATCTTCTGACAATGCTGTGTTATTTGTGGCTTTTAAAATGGCATGTCATTCTATTTGGACACTCCAAGGTCAAATTATTGACTACACATTCATACCTTCGTGTAATTCATTATTTACAAGAGCAAAGTATTTTCTACATCCTCTTTTCCTCTCTCAATAATTTATATCCTCAACTTATTTTTTTTAAACAGGTATGACCTCTAAGAGTGCGTCCACACAGATCTGCGTGTCCTTAGTCTATACAAATGCAAACAATAATGTTCTTATGGTATCTAGAAAATAATTGTTGCCCAATGATTTTGCTACCTTTACTACTGGTAGGAAGCACTAAAGTGAGAGGGAAGTCTTTCTTTCATTACCCTGCTTTTGTACCTACACTGAGCAGAGGTGAGAGGTGTTCACAGTATCAGCCACTTCCACCATCCCTAGTAAATCTCTTCCGTGGCCTTCAAAGAAGGGTTAAGAGACATGGTTGTCATCAGCTGCCCTGCGCAGGACCCCATCTTGTGTTCTAGCTCTGCCATGCTGTGCTGTGTGCCTTGGTATCTTTTCCCTTCTGGCACTTTTCGTGACTGAGTTCTTTGATACCATTTAGCAGTTTTGGTGCTATTTCCCACTTCAACTACTTGTGCTGGTTACGCATTGAAAGCACCTGGGGGAGGGCACACTGAGGAGTTCTTCTCCATGAGAATTTCCTCTGTGAATTGATGGGACCAATTGGAGGCTGGCTTAGTTGTTGACAGCCTGAGAAACTAATTAGAGAATTTAGTTTGCTCTATGAATACACATTTTGAAGGAGGTGACACGGGGAAAGCCCTCTTTCATTTACGGCCTTTTACAAGGTAACACCGACCTGGCCCGGGCCCCCACCCATGCAGCCCAGGCCAGGCAGGGGTGGGCTCGGGAGGCCGCTGGGCCCTGCTTACAACCAGAGGCCCCGATGTCCAGGGGGAGGAGAGGCCCATTGCTGAGATCCCAGCCCTCCCTCCTCCCCCAGCATGGCCCAGCTCGGTGGGGCCTTACCCCGCCACCGCCACCGGCTCGAAACAGCCGAGGGGTGGCCGAGCCCGCACAGCCACCCACGCGGCCCGGGGGAGAGGCAGCCGGGCCCCCTGTCTGGAAAGCTGGCATGTCCCGGCAGGGAGGAGGGGTGGCCATGGGCAGTGGGTGCTCTAGGGGAGCCGATTGAGATCTTAGCCGTCCCCCATCCCCACCCTCCCAGCGTGGCCTGAGTGTCCTCAGATCCTGGCATAGCTCCAGCATGGCCTGGTCCAGCCCCTGCATCCTCAATGGGAGATTTTGACCTTTCCAATGTTCAGATAAGACTTACAGACCTTCAATCCTCCCTTGAATGAGAGGAAAAAGAACAGAGAGGATACATTAAAGTCAGTGAAGCAGGAGTCAAGTTCCAGATGGAAGGAGAATGAGGAGATGCCATGAATTCAGGCTGAAAATCCTTTTGTAAGCTATAGGGATGGACTGTACTACATTAAAAATTTCTATAAACTGTGGGAAAAGACATGGGGGGGTTGGAGTGTTCCATTTGGTAGACCATTGACCAAAAGCACCTGTGTTGAGAATCCTTTGCCCCGAAGAAAAAAGGGGATCTCTGTTTCTGGAGATGAAGCATGAATAGAGAGAGAGATGAAGAGAACTTTTGCTTTTGAACAGTTCATTCTTTAAAGTAAATACCCCTTGAGTTTTAACATGGCCCATAAGCACAGCTTTGGGAAAGCTGTGAAGATGGGAGGAGTTTGTGGACAGTGAAGCCACGAGAGAACTATTTTTTTCTTCTTGTGGAGAAGTCCCTATGGCCTGACAAGAGGAAAATCCTCTCCCTGAAGTGAACTGAAAAAGATTATTTAAGTTGGGGACTGACTGAAGTGGTTTTGTATGTTGTTAAAAAGATGTGGAGGGGGAAGGAGGGAGTGGTCTGAAAATCTTACTCTGAATTTATTATTTTCTTTGTATTGTTAATAAAGTTTTTTTTAATATACCCTTTTAAGTTTCAGGCCTGCCTTGTTTTGCTCCTAATTCTGTCTCACAACAGAAAAATAAGTATATTAAAATTTGCAAACCTAAACTATAACATTTATTAGTGAGCTCACCAGGAAATTCAAACTAAACCAAGACACTGCTTTTTTTCCTCTTCATTTATTTATGTTTAGAATTGGCATCAGATATAGCCAGATGGAGAGTTGTCCCTCTGCTAGAAAGTTCAATTTTCCAATTTTCCTTTTCCTCAGACTGTTTAGTTGTCTGTTCAGTCATGTAACTGAGCACCTAAGTTTAGCTGTTTACATTAATGTGTAAAAAAAAAAAAAAAGAAAGTTGCCTTTAACAAAACTTCTGTCAGCCTCCTTACTAGGTGTGAATGTCATCTTCTGGTCTGTTATCAATGCTGAAAGCAAACAGGAGCCTTACGGTGAATTTACTCCACATAAAAACTCACAAACAAGATCTATGTATTAATAGCTTTAGTGCAGTTTTAAAAGCAGACTTAGAGGGAGCAAAGGGATTCTTGATCGGGTGTTTCACAGAATCACAAAATAAATAAGGTTGGAAGAGACCACACTGGGTCAGCCTCCCTGCTGTAGAAACAGGAATGCCTAGTAATGGGAAAATAGAATTTCCTTTTCCAGGTTATTAGCTCAAATCCCTCTGATGCTCATTTTGAACTCTATGGGGTTGTGATGGTCAGTGTATAATTTTGCCAGGTCTACATTGCATTGCATTGCAGTCATGCCTGTATTGGACTGGGATGGAAGAACTCTTGATATCATGTTGCTGGCAAAGTCACCAGCATCGTTCTGATGAAGACAGCTGGCCTGAATTTGACTCTTGTTATTTGAGGTTTGGCTACTGTGGCAGCAAAGAACTTCAGATTTGCACTTACCTCTAGGTTTGTGCACACCTGTCTGTGATGAGAGGGGCTCTGCTGCATGAGCAGGGCTTGGAGGTGGTCTTGGCCAAGCTTTTAGGGGCAGATGATGTGTAAAGCAAATTAACGCAAATCAGTCCATCTTCACTACCAACAGTGTGTAGGAATATCTGCCAGGGTTCCTACTGAATTACTCATTCCTTTTTAAAGGTTACAAACAGTGTGTCTTCAGCCAACAGACTGATTTTAAAACTTAAGGTTATATGGGAACTTGGATTAGAAAGACTGACGTTTCTTTTACAGTAAGCACATAGGATTGACAATTTAGTGCAGTTGTACTACAGAGACTTTTGTGTTTCAGCTGCATCTATTATGAGAGGGGGCATCACAGCCTCATAATGTGTAAGATTAGACTAAATATCTTTTGGCATTCTGAGAAAAAAAGAGAGGAAGCTAGGAAACAAGAAAACTCCTTGATGCCTGTCTATGCAGTATGTATGTAGACCTTTCCACACTGCTTAGTTTTACCTTTTTTTTTCTGTACCACATAGGAAAGAGTCCAAGAAGAATTATTTGAAGTGCTGTAGGCAGGAAAGAAATGGTACCTACACAATAGGTTATGGCCACTCACAACCTCTTAAGTCTTCCCAATATTTCCACAGTTTGCTTTTGTCTCTCTGAATCGATTCCCTTCCTGCTGGAGGCACTGCCATGTTTTTTCTTTGTGTTTTAGGAAGCTGGGTAATCTAGGTTAGCAAACAGGGGGGTTATTATTCATATTAGTAAAACTTGGAAAGCAAAAAACACTCCTTCTCTTGCTATAAGCATCAAAAATATACATTATACAAGATTGTTCACATTCCTGGACTTAAAGTGCAGATTCTTATTACAGTTAAATGATGTTATTTTTAACATCTCCTGTCATTGTTAATGGGCTTTTAGACTATTTTTTTCTTCTTTTTGGTGAGACTCAATATGACATCTATTGCTCAAGAGTAAAAGATTGAAATTATGAAGTATTTTATGTGTGCTAGAATCGTCTTGACCAGAAAATGCACACATTGTTGAAATCTAAATTAATTGGTTTGTGCAGGTTATGCTCAGTAATACCAGAAGGAATTAGGGCTAAAACAAACCCCCGATCATCATTTGTATACCAAAATGGTATAAAAGGAGACATTCCACAGGCCACAGATCTCTTTCCCAATAACTCTGTTCAGTCTTCTTTTGAAATCTCCTGTTTTCTCCCAATTCCCAGCAGCTTGCAGTAAAATATTTTTTTCCTCCTTTGTGCTCTGCAGTAGCTCAGAACAGCATTGGGCAACAATGGGCACAAAAGATGCAGGCTTTCATCTGTTAACCAGGTTGCTTGGGAAACACTGCAATGAGGCTCCTACTGGCTCCAGCCCTGTGCAATTGAAATGTTGGTGTCTCTCCAGGCTAAGGAGAGATGGGTGACTGACCATGATGGAGAGAAGACAAAACATGAAATGCCTTGATACAGAGGGGTAGTATCTTGCAGTAAAAGATTTGCTGAAGACTCTCTCTTAGGTAGGTACGTTCATAAGGAAGGAATTTCTGCTTACAGAGGGAAGCTTTGGTATTACAGAGTCAGTAGCAAAAGCCTGCTTTTCCAGAGGCTGACATGCTTTCCTACAGGCTTTCCTTTCATCATCTGAAGTGCCTGTGCTTGGCTTCAGCTCTTTGCTGCTGTAGTGAATTATTCAAAATGGAAAGTTCAAAGTTATCTGATTTCCTCTTGAACATACATTAGGAAGTAAGGTTTCTTATGCAGAGGAATTTCTGCCATTGCAGAGGGGACTGTATAAGGGTCTGTATGCAAATTAGGAGCTAGGTGATAGATTTAATAGCTGCAAAGTGCTAGATACAAGGACATTGCATAGAACTGAATTTTATCTACACACTGTGCTAATAAATTGCTATTTCTTAAACTTACTGTGAAATGTGACTATGGCATTCCTGGGTAATTTCTTCAGTTTTTCCTTTGATATATATTTACAAGGTTCCACTGAAGAACACTCTGAGTAACTTTTTATATAGGTCTCTCTTATCTTTAAAATCAAAATTCCTTGACTTTCAAGAACATTTTTCTAAGGCTAAGGAGCATATATTCCATAAAGTTTGTGCTAGTTAGTTCCAGATGTTGTAGCTTAGGCCTCCTTTTTTCTAACAAATGTTTACTCTCAGTAGTAAAAGGAATGTTTCTCTCTTTTCATCCATTTTCTTTGGCTAAGAAGCAAAAAGGAAACTTATCGTTAGCATATGGTGGAAAAAAATCGCTGTATGCCTCCCTCAGGCATTGCTTATTAAAAGAATAAACAGAAATGTCTCAAGTATGGGTAGTATAATTGGTATATAACTCACTATTCCCTGAATACGTACTTTTCCCTTGCAGTTCAAAAATGGAAAAGCATTTGCCTTGTTTAGAGGATGAAGCAGATGGAGTTGAAGAAAATAAGTCTTGAAACAAAGGGACATTCTTGCAGCATAAGTGCAGAGAAATGAAATGTTACTTGTTAGCCAGTGACAGGAAATATGCATCCTACAGCCATCACCACAGAAGAAAGAAAGGTTGTTATGAGCATGCACATCCCTGATGAAGGCAAAATACAAATTTGAGCTGATATATGTATCTTATATTAGGCATCAGAGTCAGAACAGTTTTAATTACTGAACTCCAGGATATTTTGGACTGACTAAAATGAAATACAGGTTTTTCAGTTAAAACCATATATTGGTACCAATTAATGCCAGATACATGGCCAGTGAATGCTTGCAAAAATATTTCACCTGGAAAAACAGCACTACATCCATGTCTTGGAAAGGACAGCTTATAGAGTTGGTGGACTTTTTTTGTTTTGTTTCAGAATTCCTTCCTTTATTATGAATAACCTTGGAGTCCAAGATCATAACTGGAGTATTTTCTAAAGACCCTTGAGCCTCCTTTACAAACAAATCAGGAATTTGGATTCTGTTCCTGTGTTCCAGATGTAATTTGGACCAGCCACTTTGGGGTTGATCTTTAAAAGACATCGGTTTGCTCTGTGACTCCCCTTAGAATGTCTCAGAACAAATGTCTAGGTAAAAAGCCACTTAAACTTAATGAACTCCTCTGAAAAATTGACATTGTACAACTCCTTATCACCTTAAGCCACTGGGTAAAAGACTTACAGTTCTATGTAACTCACAAGTGCATTTATCCTGGATTAAAATGAGACTTGTGTGTATGTGGACTTTGTTTTATTAGAACAATCCAAGGTTTCTCCAGAAGCATTTAGTCTCCAGGCATTGGTCTTCATTGGCCCACAAGTCTCATTCGTTCAAAGATAGTTCTTCATCAGAATTTCCCTGCTAAGAGAATTTTTGAAACCTATGACTACAAAAACTATATATGAGGGAAAAGGAAACTTCCCTGACTTGAAATGGCCCCATCCATTTCAAAAAGTGATATGTTTTATCTCAAATTTGTAATTTCACTGAGGAGACTTCACTAAAACCATGTCATCTGTCCAAATTCTTATCCTAGCCCCTCTCTCTATGGTCCCATGTACTGCCCATTTAATTGCCCTTTCAGTAGAATAAAGATCTGCAGTTTTAAAGAGTCCATTGCTTATGTAAAAACCTTTTACTACTCCCTCGTGCAAGAGGCAATTTCTGAACACTGACTTAGGAAGGCCAAAGAGGCAATTAATGTTGATGGGGGCTTGGGTGACACACATGCTGAAGAATGAGAACAGTCCCTTAAACAATCCCTCTTGTGAGTAGAATTGTGTATCTGTTACTGAGAGGGTTCTTTGAAGTTGTAGCAGTGAGAAGAAAGAACTCTTCAAAATAGAAATCCTTTGATCAGAAATGTAATAATTTCATGTATTGGCATTTGGGTCCTAACTGATTGTTAGGACAATTTAGGACTCCCTAAATTTGCCCTAAACCAGGACACTGATTAGTTCTGTCTAACCTGATTTCTTGTGTGCTTTGTGTTCAATTTTAGGCACCAAAGGAAGAAACAAAGGGGAATTTACAAATCTTCAAGGTGTAGCTGCATCTACAAATGGAAAAATATTAATAGCAGACAGTAACAACCAGTGTGTACAGGTATGAGAATATGCCACTTTCAGTGTTTTTCTCCTTGCACCCACACCTCTGCCATTTTCGTAGTCTCAGAAAGACACATTTTGTACAATTCAGGCAGATATAGAAAATACAAGGGAAGCTCAATTTATCATCCATTGACTTTCTATCTTCTTGACTGGCAGTTATATTTTTCAGATCTATACTATATCTAGTATATAATCAGAGTTTACTTCCATTCCATACGATGTTTGGCAATGAATGAAAAAATAAGTTGTGCAATAATCTGGAAAGATGCCTTTTTGTAAATATAATTTTACAGTGTAAATTTTATCATTCTCATGTTTTCAAATGTAAATCTAGAACAAAGTGCCACAAATATAATATTTTAGGAAGTACAAATAGAAAAATAAGCATATAGATGTAAATTTCAAGTGGCTTTTAGTCTATTTAACTGACTTTTCTTTCTGATATAATGATCAAATCTTTTCTGTGGTAGCACCCTGACATTCATAATTTCTTGGCTTCTGTAACCTGTGTGAATATCAAGCTGTTTTTTGGGTTTTTTTTGCTTGCCATGTATCCTTTTTACCATTATCAATTTGCCATCACTCTCCAGGCTTCCCACGTAGTAGCAATGAACATGGCAGCAGTATGTGGCTTGTTCTTGTATGTGAGAACCAGCAAGCCACATGCCATGAGAACTCATTTCCAGGCCTTTTCAAAGAGAGAGTCAAATATTCATCAGCATCCTCATGCTTTGTAATTTGCAGCCTCTTCAGAGGAACTTCGGTGTCTAGTTACCTGGCTTGGGGATACAACCAGTGGACATATTCTTATGTTTTCTACAGACAGTGCTTGACTGTGGCCAAGTCACTCAGTGCCTCAGTTGAAGGGGATAATACTATCCCCCCCCCGCCCCGAGAGAGATATTGTGAAGCTAATTCATTAATGTTTGTAAAGTACTTTGAGATCACTGAAGAAACAGTGCAATTAGGGTCTTGAAATTAGGATCTTCTTAAATTAGATATATCACTTTCAAATATGGACTGGATAAAATTGGTTCATGTTCCTAGCTCTCTTCCTGTCTATAGTGTTCATTAGTGACTTGCTAAAGTCTAAGCTCCAAGAAATAGGTGATGGTCATATGTGGACATAATTTTAAAATTCCTGTTTTCTATTACAGATATTTTCCAATGATGGTCAGTTCAAAAGCCGTTTTGGCATACGAGGAAGGTCTCCTGGCCAGCTGCAGCGGCCAACAGGAGTGGCTATGCATCCCAGTGGTGACATCATTATTGCAGACTATGATAACAAGTGGGTTAGCATATTCTCATCAGATGGAAAATTTAAGGTATGAGTTACCATGTGAACTCTCCTGAGCTTTCTCTGTCCTACAAAGGAATGCAAAGTAACATTGTTTTTCGAGAAACTACTTTGTTTGGCTGTAGCATAGTCTAAATTCCATTGCTGTGATGTGGAAACCCCTGACCCAGACACATGATATAATTAATAGGAGGAGATCACAGCAGTAATGCTAATGTTACATCAAGCAGAGACAACATGTTCCATATTGGGTGATTAGATGCCTTTCTATAACTTATGGTCGAGGATAGCAAGTGCCAGCAAAGCTAGTTAGACTAGCTCAACAACCTTCACATCATTAGTACTCTGATTGTACGGAACGGTGTATGCAGATATTTGTATGCACACAGACAAACATAAAATCTTACAAGGAGTATGTGAAGCTCTTCAGTGACATATGAGGGAGAAAAAGAAGGTAGCAGACTGATGATGACTTCCTCTTTTATTCCATACTTCTCAGCAAATAAAGTATATAATTGATGTATGATCCTATTGGTAATAAAAGCAAGGAAAGGTAACCCAGGGTGTTTTTTCAGTGCCACAGCATAGACGAGAGTGTTCTAGGTGGTGTGTTGTGCACTGAAAAAACTGAAAGACAGTAATGATCTTGTAGGTTTCAGAAATCAGAAATTCTAAGGAAAGCACACCTTATATTTTCATAGCAACTCTGATCCCTTTAATAGGAGTAAAATAAGATAGCAGCTGCTACACTACATTGATGATATCCAACCTGCAATATTTATTTCACTTGGGGTCAGGTGCAGTTATAGAGAGAATTAAAGGTTTCCTCCATTTGATGTATGATACCAAATCTGATGATGCACACTAGAGGGAGTCATCTGTGGCAGAGGTTAGCAGTACTCACTGGTCATCAGGATAATGGACCTGCAGGGAAATTTTTACCATAGTTACTTAGTTATGGAGTCCTGTATTGGACACATATGGCCTGTTTGGCTAATTTTCTGGCAGCCCAATGACCAAAAAGCTCAAGTTCTGAGCTGCTTGTGTGTGCAGCAAGAAATGGCCTTTCTCTGAATAGTTTTTGCAAAGTGACAAATGCAAATTATGGCGATCGTGCTTTCATAGTCCTCAATGACCTCATCTGAGAAACAAATGTGTACATTTTAGAAGTATCCAGATCATATATAGACTTCAAGCTAAAATAAAACAATACTAAAATGTATTGCTAGTGTTAAAAAAATACAAATTATTTGCATTTGCAGAGAGAATGTGGTTTTACTTGTCAAGTAATTTTGAAAATGTACAGCTACGCAGGAAAACCTTGGTCTTGGCTGAAGTCCTTAAATGAAATTAAAACACCAAAACAAACCCAAAGAAATATGTAATTTAGTTAAGAATCCAAATATTCTGAGTATCCTAAGTGTATTTTAAATAATTCTTAATGTCTTTAATGTGAACTGGCTTGATCTGGACACAGAGCATGTAGGGTTTGTTTTCCTGCCTTCTTAAAATATGCCGTAAATCCAGCATTTTGGATGGTGCCAGCTCTGGAGGAAAAAGCTCTGGAGAAGCCAGGACCCTATGTACAATATACTACCAGCAGGGAGACAGGTATTGGAAAAAATATTTATTAAAGTCGTTCCTCTGATGTGAAGCCAACATTTGTTTTCAGTCAATGTTTTTGTTGGAATGCAAAAAAATGGAAAAGTTGTGTAATGTTGGCAGTGTTTGTGTGGTTAATACAAATTAATACATCAGACTTCATAGTTTTTGGGACTAGACTGATTAAATGAAACATCAATGGTATAAAATACTATTTTTAGATTGAATGAAATAAGCCATATTTATGAGAGGAAAAATAAATGTTTGTAGAAGTATTTTTTTATATAGAGGGTAGGCATAAGCAGGTAAGTGCAGGAGCTGGGTGGAGGGCAGATGCAGAGCATGTACATGGGAAGAGCAGGAGCGAGGCAGTGGGGAGCAACGGGATGGAGACACAGATGGGCAATGGGCACAGGGCCACACTGAGGAGCTGTAATGGGAGTAGGAGGTCCTATGTTGGTGCAGCACTGGTTCAAGAGATCCTGTACTACACAGTGTAGCTGGAGAGCTGTCCTGGGGAGGAGGGATGCAGGTGGGGTGAGCACAGGGCCTGGGGGAACTGTGGAGGGACACACACGGTTGGGAGGTCATGTCCACTGAGGGTGACATGGGAGACAGTCAATGCCATGAAGAGATGAGGCTTGTATTGGGCATGATGGTGTAGGACCAGGAGTTGGACTCGATGATCCTTGTGGGTCCCTTCCAGCTCATGATATGATGGGGTAAAATTAAGTATATTGGAGGCACAGAACATAGATATAACAGATCTAGCCTGTGGGATTCTGAGCAAAGCCTTGTAATTTCTTGTGTGTTGGCGGTGGTAATTCTTACAGTGGTAATTCTTACCACATTAAATTGGGCAGCACTTGCTAAAATAACAGCGAGAGAAAGGAATAATGGCATTTGCCTTCAAAGGACTGTGCCTGCAAGTCATTGTGTAAGACCTCTGATGCAGGTGGCCTGCTAGTTGTTAACTCAGCAGTATCAGGGGGCTGTTTTGAGCTTAATCTAACTATTTTTGATGTTGTCCTCTTCCTTCTGTATTTACTTAGTCTCCCGTAGCAGAGTTTTAGTAGTCATGTGATCCATATGGCAAATTTCCCTGGAGCCAGGCCCAGGCATGTCCCTGATTTCATCACTGGACTGACTCCCCTTGGCAACCTTCACTGCCAGGCAGGAAAGTGTCACCTTCCTCAGTTCTGGCAGCAACAACGACATTTCTTACATAAATGCAGAGGCGGACAAACCCTAATCTAAGGTTACACCAAAACACAGTCTTCTTCACATTAAAGGCTGTAGTATCCTGGAAATGATGAAGACTCAAATTGGGTCTTAGGATTTGGGGCTCCTGTTTCTGGATACGCCACGGATCTCCTGGGTGACTAGAGATCTTCCATTTCACTTCCCAGTGCTTTATTTTCTTCATCTGTAAAAGGCAGATAACAGTGCTGGCTTCCTCTGGCTAGTATGCTGAAATTGCTAAGAAAACTGTTGCAGCCGATACAGCACTAGGCTAAGGAGAGAGGGCATGGTGAAGCAGCTGTACCAGCTCCTCATCAGTGTGATGTTCAAACCTAGTGATGGAACTGGATAACAGAGCTAAGAGCATGATTCCTGTTCCTCTGAGAAGATAATTGTTTTCTTTCTAGTCTTGAAGAGTTGTATATAAGATTATAAGCTTGTTATCAACCAAACAGGGCTCTGCAAATCAAGTTCCAGTTTAGATAAGTGGGAAAAGATTAAAGGAAACATTTTATATGTCAGACTTCTTCCTTGTCTCACTAGTAGAATTAAGGAAAGAACTGGCTGAAGCTGGTTGCATGTTCCGATGGGAATAGGTAGTGTGGCTAATGAGTCACAGTTGAATTATGACAGTCACTTGAATGATATATCCACTTATTGTGAGATATTGCGATGTGTGACAAAGCTATATTTCCTTAGAGAAGTTCTCAAACAGGAAACGATGGTTTGTTGAAAGTTTGTAATTAATCTCTGACAATCTTGAACCTTGCAGACAGCAAGAAGATTAGTAAACTTAAACTTACTTCTACAGTGGAAAAGTCTTCATAATTTGCTTGTTTGTTTGTTTGTGTTTTTTTTGTTTTGCTTTGCTGTTGTTTTTTGGTTCTTTTTTTGTTTGTTTGTTTTTGTGTCTTTGTTTTTTTGTTTTTTTGGGGTTTTTTTTAACCTCTAGGATTATCCTACAGTAGAATATTTTCCAGCCTGGTAGGGTGACTTTATAAACACATGTTTGAAAACCAGTCTAAATTCCTAAAACCCTATAAAATAAAGGACATTATTTCCCTGACTGAATTAAATTAAACACATTATTTGTATTGAGAGTTTACATGATTCATTATACTGTATTCATTTCTAATGGAAAAAAAGCCTGAAAATACTTCCATTCATACACTTAATGGGAATGACTGGGTTTTATAATGTTCTGTTCTAAATAATCAAACCTATAATTCTAAGTAACTTTCTGAAATAAAAATATACAAAGAATATGTTCAGCTAGATCCAGTAATGTGTCATCAGCATATTTTGATCTAATCTGGGAACAGATTTTTAGTAAAAAGCATACTCTAGCTGGCCATACTTTATTGCTGCTTGCAAATTATATTTTAAACCTGGCCCAAGAATAGTGATTTTTATTACTCTTCTTGGCACTGAGTGCCTATTAATGTAGTAGGTGATTTGTCATATTTTTCCATATGTGTTTATATGGGCAGGAAGACACTGTACTCATGAGTCTGAGTCATTTTCCATAGGAATCCTGGAAAGATGGTAAGAAGGTGGTGCAATGCTCAAGCAGACAACCATGCAGCATCCCAAAGGAAAGGAGAATATGATTTCATCACCCCAAAGGAAATACATCTACATATTTGCATTTGATTTATGGTTTTGCTGCTTTGTTGTTATGCAAACTGAATACATTTTGTAGGTCAGCTGATATCTTTCCCCTTATGAATACAAAATAATTTTTAATAGTTTTTCCTGGGGATATTTTAGCATGATTCAGTTAGGTAGATTTTGCCTAAATATTTTGCAATTTATACCAGTATATGTACATGAACATAAAACTGACACAAGATCATTGCATGTTGGCTAAGCATAGTCTTGAAGCTGCAAGATTGACTCCCTGGAATTTTCTTTATTGGAGACTGAAAAAGGTTGTGTAGTGGCTTAGTAGCAGCCATCCTCAGGGAACCCAGGTGTCTTTATTTTAGGATCATTCCTATTTTTTACCTGCAACCCCACCTATGACAATGAACCATAAAATAGTAGCATGGGACATACTAAGGGTAGGAGAGCTCCTCCTGTTTGCTTTGAAAACATCAGGGACATGAGAAAAATGAGTTAGGCAATGGATTTTCTCAATGTCTTGTAATCTGTCCCACTGCTACTTACCAGTTGCAGGAGGGAGGGGACAGGGGCAGAGGAGTCAGAAGTAGATGTGGTAGTTGTGAACATGGTTTAATGGTAAACATGACAGTGTAAGGTTAATGTTTGAACTCAGTCCTAGAGGTCTTTTCCAACCAAAATGATTCTATGATTCTCAGCATTGCTTGTTCTATGGGGCGATCTGTCTCACTCTGCAAAGGCAGTGAGGTGAAAGATAGCCTTGTTTCATAAATAAAATTAATATCTTAGTATATATTTCATTTAAACTCCAATGCAAACAGAAAAGTGTGTTCTTCACCAAGATATGAACCTCAGTTTGTAGGATGTGTCTCTCACAAATTACTGCAGGATCTGAAAGTTCTGAAATCCATAATTTCAACACAGCCTCTTTGGTAGATTGTCTGTCCAGTCTGAATAAGTGCTTTGAAATCTGTCCATCAATTTTAAAAAACGGCTAAAAGCAGGATGCAAGTTGCTCCATTACAATGCAAACAATTGGGTATTTACAACCTTTTTTAACTGAAAGGTCAAAACTCAACTGATTTTATGTAGATTAAAACAGTTTCTAGAATCTTGGCCTTAGAAAGAGCTGAATGATGAAAAACGTGGAATGGATTGTGAGGTGATCCTAGAGTCTCCTTGGGTATATGCCCAGGTAGTTCATGGATTCTCTGAAGGCTTTGTCTCAATTTCTGCTTGCTCTGTTGCTTAGATCCTCTTTTTAGAACCTCTTCTTTTTTCCCCTACTAAAGCATGCTTATGACATTTTTGGATTTGACAGCTCTCTATACTCTCCAAATAATTTACTGTTGTGAGATCCATCTCATCTCCACTGAAATATTTCCAGTGAAATATTGTATACAATTCCCCTCAATGCTGCTGATTATATCGGCAAATGGTTTTGGTTGTCACAAAGCCTAATTAAAATGATGGAAATAATTTTATTTACCTAGGACAGGAACAAGCTTTGATTTGTTTAGTATTTCAAAGATTGCTTCATTTGCTGTTTGGCAACATGATCCTCTCCCCTTTGCAGTTTTCAGCTGACACTTTATGTGTCTAGGCAGTAAGTGGAGCAATCTCCTGTGGAATCTGGTGGAAGATAGAAAGGTTAGCCTGAGCTTTAGCTCTGCTCAAATTCTTTCCAAGAGCACTCAGAAGGTGCTGGTGTCTTACTAACCCAAGAAAGGCAACAGACGACATCATAGCCTACATCCCACTCTGCCCTGATGCTCCAAGAACTCTGACTTCTTTGATGCAGGAGGTGATAAAAATATCTCCCTGTCCATCAAGGTGATGTTGGACTCAGGAACAGCATGAAATAGGAGACAAAAATCCTTTCTCTGCTTGTTCTGCTGGTACCCTAATGCTGGATATACAGACATTTCTGACAGGATTATCAAGTCACAAAAATGTGATGTCTGTATTTCTTATGAGTTCTATATTTGGACTCAGTTGCTGAGGTGGCAGCTTTTTCAGTCTAGAAAAGATATACAGAAAGCAGACTTTACTTTCAGCTGAAGAAGAAATTATGAAATACATGGTAAGAGCTGATAAAAAATATCGCTTCCAACTTTAGATGAAAAAATTGCCTCTCTGTTCTGCTCTGTGCCTGTAATACAATCTTTAAACTGCACTAATTTATATTATGCCAACATATTTTCCTGTTTTGTGTTTTTCCTTTTAGGCCAAAATTGGGTCTGGAAAGCTCATGGGCCCTAAAGGTGTTTCGGTGGATCGTAATGGACACATCATTGTAGTGGACAATAAAGCATGCTGTGTCTTCATTTTCCAGCCAAATGGGAAGATAGTCACCAGGTTTGGAAGTAGAGGAAATGGTGACAAGCAGTTTGCAGGTACACTTGATGGTAATATGTAAATCCCCTTTTCTTGCCTCTTCTGCTCACATTTGCATGATTGTTGGGGGTTGGGTTTTTTCCCTTTTCTCTCTATGGAATTTGTGGAATTTTCCCCATTGTTATGCTAAGAAACCTGTTGACTTGGCCCTAGCAGGGATGGCTAGTGGCAGGGGGAAGGGGGGGGGAAGAGGGGGAAGGGGGGGGAAAGGGGGAAAAACCGCGAAATCCAAAAAGCCAGGAGAAGAGAGGGGAAGGCACTGACTCGTCCCATTTTGCTCGTGGAATCGGAGGAGGACGGCCGCCGCTGCTACCCCCCCCCCCCCACCCCCCCCGCCACCCCAACGCCGGGAGCCAACTTTGCTGTTCTTGGACCCTGCACTGCTGCCTTCTCGGTTCAGCCTGCCATCTCCATGCACCCTGCTGAGCACCGCAACCGACACCGTGGGCAAAAAAGTCTCTCCTCTATCCCTCTCCCACCTGGGACACCGCCGCCATCACCCGCCAGCCCTCCCGCAGCTGCGCAGGCGGGACCTGCCCCACCTCCACCGGTAACTGCAGCACAGAGAAGGGTGTCTGCGGCCGAGAAGGACTGGAACTGAATTACTGTTCTGTTTGTTGTAAATTTCATAGCTGTTGGTTTTGTTTGTCTTGTTACATGTATTTGTAAAGAACTGTTATTCCTATCCCCATATCTTTTGCCTGAGAGCCCCCTTAATTCCAAAACTATAATAATTTGGAGGAAGGGAGTTTACATTCTCCATTTCAAAGAGAGGCTCTTGCCTTTCTTAGCAGATACCTGTTTTCAAACCAGGACAATGATTGAGCATGTTGGTAATGCTGTAACCTACTCCTTTATCCTCCGGGGGAGAGGTCCTGCTAGACATACAGGTCCCATTTGCTTGATTGGTCAGGCAGACTGCAACATCTGTTCTGCAAATGTAACTGTAACCAGATTGTTTCATCTACCTTCCTATGCCTGGAAGCATTTCAGATCAGTGACCCAAGAAAGACTGATCTTAACTAGCATTTTATAAGTGCTTTGTAATTGCCACACTAAGCTGTTCACCACAACCAGCTCAGATGCTGTGCTTTGTGATTCCAATCATCAGATACACAAACCCCCAATGCCCTAAGTGGTATCTCTTAGAAAATGAGTATAATGGGGTAGTGTTAAGATTGAGATCAGGAAGGCAGAGTTATGGAACAGCCAATGTAAGTTTGGGGAAATTGCCATTTATACTTAATTGACTGCTTGCACATGCTGTCTTTCAAGTAGAAAATGCAGTTAAGTTTACAAAAGAGAACAGCCCCACTGATATATTTTAAGTGAATAGTAGTTCTTTCAAAATTTGGAATGTAGGTGCCAAATTAGGTGTGCGGGTCATTTTACAGGTGTTGGGTCATTTTTAGTGTGTAGTTTTGTTGGGCTGATGTTTTGACTGGTTCACAGTGAAAAAGAGGAATAGCATCAATGTGTTTTTATCCTGAGATCTCTTGCAATGTTTTACGGCATAATATAATGTAATTTATGAGAGCTTGTGCTCTAACATAGCTAAATTTTCTGGGAATCTCACTTTCTTTTCATCTGAAAATTTGCAAAAACACCGCCTGAAAATAAGTAGGCAAATAACAGTACATTTGAGAAATGTATCACCTCTTCTTGCTGATAGGCTACAGAAAACAGATAAATTGTCAATACTTGAATGTTTTCAATGTAAAATTTTTCACTTTTTTAATAGTTTACCCTGATATACTGTGAAAACTGAAACTGAGTTCTGTTCTGTTTAATAACTCAAAATAGCACCAAGTGTTTTAATTTGGGTACTTGCCTGTTTTCAAGCTACCATTTGTTTTTTACTCAAATTTGCACACATATTTCAATACAATGTAAAGCAAAAATTGCCCTTTTTTCCTTAACAGTGGTTTTCTAAGTAACTTTTTAATTTATCCTAAAAGTTGTTAGTTCAAATGCTTGTAAGATGTGAGCACATAGAGCATAAAATATTTCAATTAAGAATTTACAGAAAAATTTTTGATAACAATTTTCAGTGTATACACAACTTTATGCTTAAGCACTGTATGTTTTGTCTTGTTAATAAGCCTATAAATCTCTGCATAATCATATGTATACAAGAGAGGGAGAAATCAACAATGCTCATTGGTAACAATAGCTAGTTGAAACTGGTTTAAAAATAAATTATTTGTGTTTACAAAAAGCATGCTGAGCTTTTTAAAAAAAACATGAAGTAAAATTACTCTTAAGTTGAAATTGGTATTCCCACTTGGACTACTATTGCTCAGAAGCCAAACATAATATGCTGGCAGACTGATTTTTTTTTAAATTTAACCATACTTTTAATTTTAATGGTATTACTATTTTTTTCTTCTTCTTTTTCTGCTTTGCAGGTCCTCATTTTGCAGCTGTAAACAGCAACAATGAAATTATCATTACAGATTTTCATAACCATTCTGTCAAGGTACTGTCAGTTAATGGCAACTTGGAAAGTTGCCATTTTAATTTTATTATGATACTTTCTTGGGGAAAATAACGTATTGTTAAAACCAAAGAGATCACGCTCCATATGTATGAGCTCTGCTATAAGGACAGCACTTTCAGAGAACTTTGCATGCAGTGCATTGCTTAGTGAAGGTATAGTCCATTGCCATTGGTGTCACTATAATGGTCTTTAATTCAATAGCTTAAACATAAGTTGTACCTGAAATAATTTCAACTTTACTTATTTTTAGTAGCCCTCTGCCAAACCTGTTATTGACCCTGTGTTGTGTCTTCTTTTAAAAGTCTGGCTTTTGAATTTCCCAGTAAAAGCTTTCCACATTTCTAGTTGTAAAATGATAACAAAGTAAAGATACCTGACAGTCTTTAAATTCTGTACTTATAAGCTTTAAGATTACTGGATCCATTTTACAACCCGATTCTCTTAAAACCCATGTAATTATATTTGTTTTCATTCAACGCCTCCTTCACTGGGCAGAACTAGCCGCTAGTCCTTACTCCCATGGGAAGTCCCGACCCACAGCCTGTTAAAGTCATGGTATGATAGGAAGTTTATTTGTTTGTCCCAGTAATAAACCAAACCAGGGAAACATGCTGAAATGTGTCGGCAAATGTCTATGAAGGAGATACAGGCCATTTCAGAAATGCCTCACCTATGTGTGTTCCTTCTGAGGCATTCCCTTTCCACATTTCCTGCTCATGCTCTTGTGCCCTCCCTCTATAGGAGGCAGCAGCAGCAGAACAGAGGCAGGATGCTCTACCAGTTCTACCTGGGCTCTCTGGATATTTGTCAGTCCCACACACCAACAAAATAAAATCCCTGGCATTTCACCTAATGCCTATTTTGACTGAACACAAATATGAACCCTCAGTCTAATTCTTCACTGTTTTTGATTGAAAAAAATAAATGTTATATATTTACCTAAAATAGGAAGTTGCTGTTCAAGCAGACATCTTTGTGTTCTGAGCAGTGCTGAATCAGCTAGGTTTGGGATAGAAAGCTTGCTTGCCTATCCTTTTGGAATTGGTGAGGAAGTAGCACTCGTGGTTTGGATTATGACACAAACCAAGACTGCTGCAGGAGCCCTAAAGCAGCAGGAGGCCTATGACTCCATTAATTACCTTTCCACAAACAAGGTAGCAAGAATGCCGGCATACGCTTAACAGCAAGGGGCAAACTGAAATGAAAAAAAAAAGGAAGTGAAGAAATCTAAGAAGTGTGTCATCCTAGAGGATTTATAATTATTAAATTTCTAATGAGAACAGTGTCCCATCTGTCTCTGGTGTGACTCAATGGGATAAAAATGTTACTTGTTACAATTTGATACTAACTGGAAAAGATTCTTATTTCTGTAGTGTTCTCTAAATTGGTACATATAACTGTTGACACTCTGGAGAGTTTATAATCAGAGAGCAGAGAGCAGATTTAAATAATGAATTAGTTTATAAATAACTAAATAAATTAATTTCACTCTTATGGGTCCCAAAGCCACTTCCTACCACCAGTGTAATGAATTAAGCAATCTCATTCAGCAACATTTTTCTCCCACCCCCATTAACCTTCAAGGATGTTCCTTCCCTCAGGCATCTTTTATGGAAAATCTTGCACAATGTAGGCTTCTCTCCCATTTGATCACTTCAGCCCAAGGAGAGAGCAATATATCTTTGTCTGTTTTTTTCATTAGTTGTTNTTATTATTATTATTATTATTATTATTATTATTATTATTATTATTATTATTATTATTATTATTTTCTTTAACATCTGAGGCACTAACTTGGTACTTCATTAATTTCATTCCCCAAATGTTTTTTATCTGGTCACTGTGAGTGTTCGAGAACACAATAATTCCCTGACATCTTCCAGCACTTCAGTGTGCATTTGGCACTTGTCAGGTCTTTACATTTTGTTGTGCAAGCCACAATCAGTCTCTAAGAACACTGTTGAACTTTGTGCTGTAGCTGGGCTTAGGTCCAAGATGGACCAAAAAATTTTAGAGATGGCTGTGGTACTGTGTAAATGACACATTTTGTATCTTGTTTGGTCCCATTGGTGCACCTAGGTCACTGACAGAATAGTCATTGATCAGCTCCATCTTACTGCTGTCTAAACCTGTTACCATCACAGAGAATCCAGTTGCTGACCTGTCTACAGAGAGCAGCATGCCATGATTTGCAATGTGTGTTAGATTATGGAAGCAGAGAAGAGAGCATCTGCTCCATTGTGTTTTAATTCCACAGAAATAAAAATACCAGTGCTGTACCTGCATTCAGCTCTTTTCAGTTCAAGATGCACAAGCTGCAGAAGGGTTCTGGCATCCTTTGCCTCCATGTCTGAGATGAATCAGATCTTAAGTGAGAAAAGAAATGCTGTATGTTGTAATGGAGTGAAGGGAGAGATAGGCACTTTTTCTCCCATCTTGTGTGCGCGTGTGTGTGTGTGTGTGTGTGTATATGTGTATATGTGTATCAGGGCTGTGTGCTCTGGGGAACTCTTCAATTCCTCCTCTAATTAGCAGGTGAACTGGTAGTACTAGATTACTAATATTTGGTACCATATTTAAGTTGTTGTTTTAACCCATACAGGTATTTAACCAGGAGGGAGAATTCATGCTGAAGTTTGGATCAAATGGAGAAGGAAATGGGCAATTTAATGCACCAACTGGAGTAGCAGTAGATTCTAATGGAAATATTATCGTAGCAGATTGGGGAAACAGCCGAATACAGGTAGAAATTTCTGTATTTCAAAGGTGCTTGATGAAAAAAACTAATGGGTTGGAAACTCTCGCCTTCAGACTGCCCAAGAAACACCATCAGCATTAGAAGTAATGTGGCTTTTCACACCATCCTTTATATGCCTCATTGTCAACTTTCCCATCTGGTGTCAGATTGTCAGCTTTTCAATGTGGCTGCTGGCAACTCTGATGGCCACTGTGACCAAGGATTTTGGTGCCAAGTAATTCCCCAAAAGTTACTTGATGACTTATGAGACTTGCAAGCATTGCTGAGATGATAGTCATTTATAATCACCATAACAGAAGATCAGAGATACAGTGGAAAATATGAAAAAGCAAATGACCTGAGGCAAATGCGACAGACTTTTATCATCTTTTTTAAATGTTGAGAAATTATTCTGCTTTCAAGTTATGAGAGTTGCACTCTTTTTAATCACGTCTTGTTTGCCAAAGAATACCTAACAAATAAATGTATGTATTATTTCCACTGAATATAAAACTGAGGGAGCTGCTTCTCTCATCCTGAGACGTTCTCAGGAAGTACTGCCAACAGGGTAAACAAATTCCTGATTTTCTCTATGTGGAAACCTAAGAATCAGGCTAGCCACAACAGTAATATTTGTTGGAAAACAAGGTGTTGGTTGAGTTCCCAATTAAATTTGATTTATTGTAGTTGACTATTTTTAACAAGGAACAGCCGAGGTTCTTACATTATTATTATTTTTTCATTGTGTATTAATTCTTGCCAAAGATCCTGGCAGCTATAATTAGTTCCTTTTCATAAGAACATACATTTGTATATGAACTTGCATATTATGAAATAACAGAACAGATTTTGCCCCTGTTTATTCTACTGTATATCAACTGTTTCAGAAATGAGAAGTATAACAGTATAACTGAGCGCAAACTTGTGTCCACTACTTTTATTTTCATAACATTTTTTCTGTGCTTTCTCACCCTCCAAGGTTTTTGATGGAAGTGGATCATTTTTATCCTACATTAACACCTCTGCTGACCCACTTTATGGTCCTCAAGGTTTGGCTCTTACTTCAGACGGCCATGTTGTAGTCGCAGATTCTGGAAATCACTGCTTCAAGGTCTATCGATACTTACAGTAGCAATGAACTCTGGAGTTGGATAATTACCCACCCTTAAGAAATGACTCATCCTAGAGATCCAGTGCAGGATATCTCCTACTTTGTGTTCATTTTTAATAACAAAGGAGTCTCTTATGGACTTCTTGTGATAATTTCCAAACTTACCTTGTTTACATAGGACTTGCACCTCTTATGTTTCTTGTTGTACGTGTTAATAAAACAAAATCCTCTGTAACTGAATTCATAAAAACAATTTGAAATTAAACACAACTGCAACCTATGAAACTGGAATTAACTAATAAGGCAAAAATGAGAAAAGTTTGGGAGAAGTCCCCAAAGCTTTTTGATGACTGTGAAGGATAGCTCCTGCTCAGGGCTTCCAAATTTAAAGAAGTACCATTCTTACACATTATTTAACCCAGAGATAGTCCTGGGAATCTTCTAGATCTCATTATCATGGTAGGTATTACACTTTTAATATTCTTCAGTCTTACTGTGTATAACAAGTAGGTCCTTTTAGTATAAGGCTAAGTCTCACAAAATCTGTCTAGCTCTAACCGTCAGACTTAACACAGCTCTGTTTTTAGCACTGAGAATCAATGCAAATTCCCTACTCATGTGGAATTAATGGAGGATTGTTATGTGCGGCTGTTTTTCACTCTTCTTCTTGCTCAGTGTGCAGGAAGGACTTTGCAGAGACCTGACATTTCTAAAGCTCTGGAAAAACTTAATTGTAGTGATACGTTAGTGGGAGCAGAATTTCTGTATAACCACAGACCTTTTGACACTAAACCTGTTCATTAGGATCAGGGTTATTACAATGTCAAGTCAATTAATCTCATGTGTCCCACTCTTTCATACGTGTTCATTGCCATGTTTCCTTACAGCAACTCGTATTAACCTCTAAAATAAAATGCAGCTTCACACAGGACAGAAAGCCAGAGAAGTACCCCTGTGGAGGAACCGACATTATACAACCAAAGGAACTGTGGTAAACAGAGGTTGTATAGGAAAGCCAAGGGTTACCAAAGCTATTTGTTTTTATGTGAGAAAAAATACATTGCAAATAGAAATGAATTTGAACCAATCCCTGAAGTCCTTAATCAAAGGGAATTTTGTTAGAGGACAGAACAAGGACTGTGAGATTTGTTCTAATTTGTTTGTATGTATGTATGTATGTATGACCGATTAACGTAAAAAAAAAAAAAATAAATGTGACTTATTTCAAGAAACTGGAACGTATGTATGATATTTGACAATGGCAGCATTCCGAAAAATGACCTTTCTTCCTCTGCCAGATCTCTCTACTGTGTTCTTTGTTGAAGTATTAATTTAACTGGAAATGCTTACAGGCATGTTTCTGTTTTTAATGTTTGGTTTATTGGGTTTTTTTAAAGAATGAACTTGTAGCATTGGCTTTATTTTTATTTCTATATCTAGTGGTCAAAGGTTGAATTGCTACTGTAGCCTGATTATAGATAGAGTAGTGCTCCCTTTTAAGTGTTGTTTGAGGAGCTGTGAGCTTGCTGCCAATGCCTACAATAGCCTGGGAAGTGCTGTCTTTCTCATTTTTAGGGCCTTGAAACAAAAGGGCATTGGGTCAGAAACAAGGGAGTATTTTAAGCATGTTTGCAAAATGGAAAGAAATATTTGATAAAATTTCTTGTTATAAGTATTTGTCTTATTTCTAAAACATTAAGGTGGTTGTTCCAATGAATTTTAGAAAAACTAATGTTTTTTTGTAAAGTTGCATTTGATTTGTAAAAATTCAGACCCCAAGTTTCTTAAATGGGGTTTTGTTTGGTTTTTAATTACTGTTTCCTAAAGATATTTCTTCTTTCCTTTGTTTATTTTTTGCACATAGAACCAATTTACAATTTCTTGTGCAAATATATGTTTCCTTATTTCATTGGAATAAATATTTTGTGCATGAAGCTTAAGGATTAAGGACTGTATAATGAAACTAAGAAGCTGGTGGTAACATTTATGAATATTGAAACTCAGAATTGTTATTGCTAAGAGAACAAAATATCCTCTGCTTGAACTGAGTTTGTCCTAAAATTCTGAAGATGTATCTCAGTCATTACAAATAAACTGTCCTATCAAAATTTAACAAAGCTGTAGATCAAATTTTCACTCTAAGTGTCCTTACAACACTGACATTGGAAGATGCTTAAATGGCACATTGATGAAGAAAAGGCCTTTGAACTGTATTTAGTAATAAAGAGAAGGGGTTGCACAGATTGAGATAAACATTTTTAAAAATGTGCTGTGGCTGTCAGTTATTATATTTAGTTCCAAATATGGATTTTTAGAATACAATTTTGCTAAGTTTGCATGTTTACCCCTCAGAAAACATTGCCAAATCCTCTGTTGTCTGGAACTTTGAGAAGCATGAAAATCAGATCATAACCCATATATCAAAAAAGATACTTAAGACTGTGCTATTTCATGCATACACTTTTCTTCAAAAGCTTTTCAGTCCTTTGGTCCAGCATTTACCAGGATCTTAGATAACTCTTGTGAACCCAGTGCACCGTGATGAAATAGTGAATTCTGCACATAACCCCCCCTCACAACACAGCTCAAAGCTATTAGAGGTTTTGTGGATTTTTTCTTACAATTGAGTAGTCTTTTGGATTTTCAGACATTATCAGCAGAGCAGCACCTAAAAAATATCACTAAGTTTACGTTACTTCTGATAGCAATTACTGACAACTTCAATTTCAAATTTATGGCATAGAGCATTCCCTTCCAAGGTCTAACCTTATCTGCCTGGCACCGGGAAACTGAGAAACACATTGCTTTTACAGTGTGCTTCTGAAGCCAACTTGCTAAAATGCTTGGCTTACAAGCGTTACAGAGAGCAACCAAAGCAGAAATTCTGCACTTAAAAGCTGGCAGACTTTTTTTCTCATCCAATTAAGAGAAGGTTAGAATTGCTCTACGTGATTTGCTGAATTGTTAGCATTTATTAGAGGCTTTATAGGCATGCTGCTGCCAGATTTCAGGTATAACCAAATGTCCCCTTGACTTTCCTGGAATGCTAATTGACTAGCAGCACAGCATGAATGGTGAAAGTATGTGCTTCATTTAACTAATCTTCAGCTCGAAAGTAATCTCAAAGGGTTATTAGATGTTGTGTTATATGGAGCATTTTAGGACAAACTAGCCAACTGTATTTTCATTATTTTGTGAATAGAATGAAAAGATCTGCTCAGATAAATCCAATATAAACAATAGGAGAGTTTTATACACGCTAAACCAGCACCAGTGTATTGAAAAAGAAAAGGAAAATGGTCTAGGCAGGCATTTGCATCATGAAGATGAAGAATGTTACTTACTAGTAATTGCTCATCTGTTCTGTAAAAGCCAGAGGGGTTTTGATTTTATGTCAATATTTTTTATAATAAGGATCTAGTAATGCCATAGCGAGAACTCTAAGTGCCCAATATGTTGTATTTGTTATAAAGAAATAACTTTCAGTTGTGGGAGACAGCTCGTTATGAAATCATGATGTAAAGTCAAACTTTTCTTCAAGAATTCAAGCAGTGATTAGCTGACTTATTTGTGGAAAGTGTACAAAAGGTATTTGTGTTACAGAGTCGGAAGGTTCCTAACAGGTCATTTTATTTCTGACAAATGTACAGCACTTCAGTTAATGTTTGTGACCAACACAGCCTTAACCCTGACATTTTCCTTTGGCTTTATGACATGGGAATGTTCCCTAAGTTGTGTAGTGTATGGCAGCAGCCACTGATAGAAGTCTCTACCAGTTGATATGCTGCAGCTTTCCAGTTCTAGCAGTTTTTTTCCAGTTCTTTTTTTCATGTTTTTTTTAAAGTTTTTGTACATTCCATCTTTGTAAGTCAATATATGTTTTGTGTATATGTAAGCCTTGTGCTCTCTTGACACTCATAATGAAATATTCTTCTCCCTTGTTTTTTTGTTGTCAATGATGATGTTTTTGTTTGATTTTTTAAAAATCCCTATGAGGCCTTAAGGTCATCCCTTAAGGTCAAGGATGAAGATGCAGATTATAGTGTTTGTGTGTTTGTGTGTGTGTGTGTGTGTGTGTGTGTGCGTGCGTGTGTGTGTGTAGCTTTAGCTTCCTGGGTGCCATGGTATTCACAATGCTTTAGCTGACAAAAAAAATTACTCTATCTTGGAAATGTAGGAAAACTGGAGTCAAATGTGTACCTTTATCACGCACAAAAATTTCAAATAATAAAAACAAAGCTTGTTTCCTCTGTTATTTTAATGGTTGAGAATTTATTTTTCATGTGCCTCATACTCACTGTCCCTAAAAGTAACCCCATAATGCAGGAAGACAGGTAATTTTTTTCCAGTTTTCTTCCCTGACACCACAGGTGACAAGCCAAGCAAACTGTGATTTTTTCAGGGGTGTTAAACTTTTATGTGAACACAGAGCAAAGAGGGACTTGTTCTTGGGAAGAAGGTGCAGAGTTGGAGCTTCTTTGTTCATCTCTTTCTTCTTCAGTCCAGGAATCAAAATTAAGATTTTCATTGGTGGATTGGTAAGATTAAGAGAGGTAAGCTTTTCTGCTTGCATCACAGAAGTACACAGTACCTTTTCACTGAGGTGTGCTATAATCTTTCAAGGGTCTGTTGCAGAAAACCAAATGAAATTATTGTTGAGAACAGAAAATTTGCCTTAGGAGTTCAGTCTGACTCTGTTCCTGTAAGAACAAATTTCCAGCTTGTATTAACTTGAATTTCACATAGTACCTATGTCTTCTTGGTCACTGGTGAACTCTCTAAAACTTAATCATTTGAGAACTCAGTGGGAACTTGCTCACTAAGTGAGACAGAATCTTCAGATGCATCATTTGGCTTGGATGCAACCTTAATGGAGGGGACTAGCAAGGTCAATGAAACCCCCAGTGATGAGTGTTTGCTCAGTGGCAGGACAGTCAGAAATGAGAGAGCTGAAATACTGAGCAGCTGTCCTAGTTTTGTGGATCTTTCCCCCAAACCCTCTAGAGGAATATGTGTTTTATTCTTTCTTGCAGGTCTAGGGGGTATCAGCAGCCATGTTTCAAGGCCTCACTTTGCTCCTAAAGACAAACTTAGTACAACATAATGAATCAGTTTTGGTTTTCTGTGAGTCTCCAGATGAATACACATTCGCCAAATAGACTCTTGGTGCTGAGTGTACTTGTCTATCTGCTCTGAAGTTCAGATAAATACAAAAGGCTTTTTTTGTCTGCCAGCTAAAAGAACATCACATCTTGAAGCCGAGCAGTGGTGGTTTGACATTCAGAGTTGCAGAGCACTTGTTCCTTCCCATGCAAAAAAAAAAATCATGAGGAATAGAACCAATAACACAGAATATCCTAAAACCACTGGGCATAGTGGTAAGACACTTGTTACATTCCTAGTATTTTCTTATTTATAGGCTAGAAATGTTTTCTGTCCCCTGGATTACTAAAACAGAGGCTCTTCACCACTGACTAAAATCAGGCAGACAGGCTGAACAGTAATTCTGGGGAACACTGTTGTTTACCAGAAAAAGTCTGCAGTAAATGGCCAACTTCCTCTTTGGCCCTCTTGTGGTGCTTACTTAAATACCTAAATGAGGCAGCAGAATCTTTTAGGAGTTCTGTAAATAGGACTAGAGAACCCAGTCTCACCAATGAGAAACAATGTCAGGGAGAATAGGGCCAAAGTAGCTAAAGGAGCAGATATTTTGGGAAGCAACCCTTAGCCAGGCTCTCTCTCTCTTTAGACTGGTACCCCATAACATGCATGTTCAAAAACATTTCCTTGTTCCTTAGGCTGACCTTCACATGCAGCTGTGCTGCTCTGCAGTTAACTGTCCCCACAATTTTATTGACAGTTCATGTGAATGCTCCCTAATTTGGACCAGACTGAACTATCTCAGTGGAGTGGAACAGTCAATGTTATTTCTGTGGACAGATGCTCTCCCTAGGCAGGCCCAGGTGTGCTAGTGGAGGAGATACCCAGCACTTGCTGCTCATGGCTACATGCAATTGAAGACTGCTGCCCTCAGATTTGTTCAGAGCTAGGCATATGAATGCTTTGTTCCTTCAGAGAAATGCCTTGTGACCAAAATCCTAGTGTTTAAGCTACTCACCTCAAGGACAACCATTATGCTCACTTCAGCAGCTCTGCCTAGCAAAGCTGTGGAAGCAGTAAGTTTTGGGGGTGGGCCAGCTAGCATTTCTCACCAAGGGTTTTTTATTCAAGGGTTAAATGTTTGTAGGGAGAACATCTGCTTACAGTCTAAAAGTTCATTTGACATGCTGTAGAGACTGGCCTGTATGAGATACTCATAGATCATACTGCTTCCTGATGTGTGGCCACAGCCCATCACAGATGCCTGCATCCCAGAGAAGTTGGTATCAACCCCTATGGGTGAGCATCTCCTTGTCCTCCATGCTTAAACTCTACTGCTGTCAGTAATACAGGTGCTGTGGGAGGCAGCCTCAGGAATCGAAAGGCTTGCTCTTACTCTTCTAGAAATAAACTGATCTGCTATTTGAAAGGAATGAGAAGGACGTATCTTTACAAAAAACCTGTGGGCCTGATGGTAGATAAGGCCAGATACTATGAGGTGAACGAAACAATGGGGGAAAGCATAAATTACATAGGAATTCCACTAATTGACATGGACAATTGACTGTTACTCACTTAAGACTGTGCTAAATCTCTGGATTTAGAGAAAAAAAACAGACACAAAGAAAAAGAAAAATGGGAGGTGGGGAGTTATACATTAGAAGGGGTCTTAGGTATTAGGCATTTTGGGAAGTCTGTACATCTCAAGTACCTCAACCAATGGGGAAAGAGAGAGGGAAATGCAACCAGGAAATCAAGATAAAAAGGAGGCTGTGTCCCCTAAAAATTTGAGAGACCCTAGGGGAAATGTCCCATGGCCTCTCCCTTTATTTGAATAAAGTTGCAGGACTTCTCTGTTTCCTTTTTGGACATAAACCTCTGGTGTTTGTGGATTAATTTTCCTGACATATTCGACTTGAACTCTTACCTTCTGAAAAAACAGCTCACGTAATTAAGACTGTGCTATGGCACATACGTATGAAAGGAACAAAATGAAACTAGGGTAATTTTCATTCTCTACTGGCTAAGCTTTCTGCCACTATTGCTGTATGGTCCTTTCAAAACAGAATTTCTGATTGCAATTCAGCTACAGTCAATTGTAAGAGCAAAGTAAAGAAAGTACAAATTTCATCTCATCCAAGCATAATTACACTGACAAAGCATTGTATTTCCTCTAACTAAGGAATAGTGGAAAACTATTTTGACCAGCACTTAAAGATTTCAGTCAGACTCCTAGAATAGAAAATTTAGACCAATTTATTAAAGCTTAAAAAAATCACAGGAAAATGAGAACAATATTCTAACAGAAAGACACAGTTACAAGTCTCTTTTCCAATGTATTTCCATTGTCTTGTTTTTAGATCATAGCTTAAGACCAGCAGTTTTGTGAAATACCAAGTTTCGACATTCTGAAGCCCATTAAAAATACCAGGCCTTTATGTATTTCAGGAGTACTTCATTCCACTTCATTCAGTAATGGAAAACCACCCCTCAAATGACAAAGCATGAGATACACCGTGTGTTCCTCTTTTGTTTGGGACCTCTTTCACCCCATGGTCTTTCAATTAATTAGTTTGATCAGGTGCTGCAAAATGTGCCTAGTGTTAGGGAACCTCCTATTACAGGGCAAATTGGACCCGGTTATGTGGCTGTTGAGAGGAAAGCTAACGTCGTTACAATTTGATGGGTGAAGGTATGGGTGTCTTTCAATAGGTCTTAATGTCTCTATTGACTTCGGGCAGCAGGTTTGTTACAGAGCCCAGACATCTTGGCTCCTGAAAGAGACAAGGGTCTGCCCAAGCCAGAGTTTCTAAGCTTTGAGGTAAAATAGTAGGTTCAAGGGGGGAATATGTGGTAGGCAGCTGGGGAAGGCTGTACCTTCTGAGAACCTCAGCCAATGGGGAAAGGAAGAGGGCAACTTGTGGCTTGGAGTTTAGGATAAAAGGAGGCTGTGCCCTCCAAAAACCCTGCAGGCATGTGCCCCAGTGGAGTCTCTCCCTTTATTTGAATAAAGTTGCAGGACTTCCCTGTCTCCTTTCTGGACATAGACCTCTGGCATTTGTGGATTTTCCTGACACTGTGAAAGAGCTTCAGGTCTGCCAGAGCACTTGGGGCAGCTGAGCCTGGCTGTCCCCAGGGGCCATGAGCAGAGAAAACCTGCTGAACCACCTTCCCCACCATTGCAAGAGCATGGTCTAATGTTTCAGATGTGACTGGGCTATCTGGGTTGCTGTGATCACATTCAACCTCTGTAACAAGGAACGTCTTCCAGCTGTGGTTCCAGGTGTGTGCTCCAGCCGGCTGGCTCTGTGTGGGGGTGACACCGGGGTGTTTGCTGCCAGTCTACTTTCACAAGTAATGGGTAGATGGGACCACTGCTGCCTCACAAGTACTGTACAGAAGACGCAAGGTACGTGCCCCAAGCCCACTTCAATATGAGTGTCCCTCTGAAAACCTTTCCTTCCTCTACTGCAGGCAGCATGTTCAGCTCTGACACCCACCCTGCCACTCACATGTCACTTAGAGAAAACCTGCACTGCAATGGGGACTTTGCAAACGTTGCAGCAACCATTTGCCTGGCAGCAGTAGAAAAAACAGTGTTCAGTTTTGTTCCAGGCTGTGAAGGAGCAGGAATGGGCCCAGACCCTTGGACTGCAGTGGTGAGGGTGGCAGGAGGAAAAGAACTGTGACAGGGAACATGGGGACATAGCCCCTTTGAGGGCTGGCCAAAGGAAATGGCAGGGAGACAGAATATGAGCCCTCAACAGCAGATGAGGGGGTGTACCAACAGATTTCATCCTGAGTTAGCAAGTTGAAAACATGATGCACATGAGAAAGAACAAAAAGTTTTGTATTAAAAATTTCTTTTCTAATTTCCATTTCATTTTTAGAAATACACTGGTGTGCACAATGATGAATGGGATCATGGGCTGTATGGAAAAGAACCTCAGGTTTCAGGAAAGGGGTCACCTTGCAAAAGGCATTGAAAATCTTTACATGAACTGCCTGAACACCTCAGCTTGCACGTTTTCATTTGCTTGAATTTAAACTCTTGATTTAGTGTGGCAGATATGAAGCCACAGCTGCTGCAGATGCAGGAAAGTGATTTACAACACAAATAATAATCAAAACAAGCTGTCAGTAATTAAAGTTGCTAGAACAGTCATCATAACAACTGTTTCAAGCAACACCAGATGTGGCCAGGCCCTTCCCTTCCATGGACAGAGAAGGCTTTATTTTTCCACGTCCCGTGACTCATGTTACAGGCCAGGCGTACAATACACGTCGCGTTAGACCACGATTAACATGTTCTTTTTGTGCCCTCAGTTTTATTATACGGCACCACCGGGCTGGTAAAAAAACCGACAAAAACCTAACAACGAAAAACTCCTAACCAAAACAAACAAGCAAATTAAAAACAAACAAACAAAAACCGCACGCACGTTCGCGGTGGCCGAAGCCGCCAAGTCTCGCGCGCCCGCCCTGCTCTCGCCGCCGTGAGGGCGGTGAGGGCCGCGCGCCGCGGGCAGTGGGGCGGGCCGCGGCGGGGCGGGCGGCAGGCGGCGCTGCGCACGCGACTGGTTCTTCCCGCCCGGTGGCGCCGGCATCAAACCGGGTCGCCCACCCGCGATATGGTAAGCTGGGCTGCTCGCTCTCCGCCTCCTCCCGCTTTCCTTCCCGGGCTCCCGTAAAGGCTGCGGGGCTGCAGGGGGAGCCGCGACCGCGGTGATGGCGGGTGATGGCCGCCCGCGCCTCGCTGTCCTTCCGCTTCGGTGTCTCTGAGGGGAGCAGGGCTCTCGCTCCGAGGAGGCCCCACTGTGCCAGTTCTGGGGGTGAAGCGTCAGCGCGGCGTGGGCCGTACCTTTGGATTGTTGTAGAGCGATGTAAATGAGCCGGCACCTGGAGAAGCAGACATAGTCCCGTGGTTGTGGCTCGAGGTGGGCACAGCAGTGCCTGCTGCTTGGCTCTGAGACACGGGAGCCTAGGTGAGGCTAGACTGAGCCTCTGGCTGCAGCTGTGTGGACGTGGGAGCAGGCAGAGCGAATCGCAGGTGTGCTCGAGTGTGATCACAACATCGCATTTTTACGTCTGCCTGAGGTAGCGGGAGCGCCAGCGAAATGGATATTCATGGTGTGGTTAATATTTGCGGTGAGGAATGTCTGCCAGTGAGGTAGGAGGGAGAAATTAACTTGAAAGTTAATAACGTTCATCGAGACTGCTCTTGGCTTCGTTGTTTTGCTCTGTTTGCTGGAGTAGCGGTGTGAAACTTGGCGTCCGAAGGGCGTAGCTACAAGCACGTGCTTCCAGAAACGCCGCTTAAGATTCCTCGTCGTGCGCTTACGCATTTTGTTCCTGCTGCTGCTGCTGCTGCTGACGGTGTCAGGGCTTTAGGAGAAGGCAGGAGATGGAAGTTAAATCCGTCGGCTTTCTGTTCATGCTCCTTCTTGAACATTCATAGGAGCTCCAGGTTCTAATCCTGCAATGTACTGACATCGCAGGAGACAGCAGTGCTGACCTAGGGTATCGCTGGCTAAAAGAGGAGAGAGGGGGCCTAAAAAAGCAGTAATGATGCACTTTGTTAAATATAATACTGAATTGCTTCTGTTCCTGGCTCTGTATTACTGCGGCTGCATAAGCTAGCTTTTACATTTGTTCTTTAAAATTAGATTAGTCTGGCCAATTTGCTCTTGATGTATGTTTTAAGTATTGTGTGCTGCCTGATCGTGTTCTTTTTTAAGAACGAAGCACCTATTCAAAGGTAAAAATGATGTTGACTCCTTTCTGTTAGAAACTTGGAAACATAACCATGTCTTTCTCAAAGTATCTTGTAATTAGACTACCCACTTCCACTGACTTACGGGCAACAATATACCTTTTTTTTTGTTGTTTCTGCCAACATCTTCTTTGGCCCTTTCTGTCCCTCTTTCCCTATTTTGTAGCTGCGCAGTGTGTGAATCAGGGAGTAGGGCAAGGGGGAACTGCGGATTCACATTGTGGCTGCTGCTTTTGGGTTGTTGATGCTAAATGCTCTTTGATAAATGCTATTAATAAAACTCCAATTCTCTGTGAAATATTTTATATCCTAATTTTATAAGAGGCATATCAAAATAGCATCTCTGAAAGTGATCAGAGGAGACTGTTTCTCAGTTTTGTATTGCTGGTAGCAGTTTGTGAATTGCCATTTCTGCCTTTTCTTTGTAGTTCAACCCAAGTTATTTAATGCTTGGTCACACAACCAGAGAGAAAAGAAATAAAAGCAGCAACGTTTTTAAAACCTTGAAATCATAAAGTTGGTTAAGACCTTTGAAGAAAGACATATCTTGAAATGTTCTCTATCTCCTTAGAAAAATCTGAACGGCCTACAACTCAAACTACTGTCTGTATATCACAACGTAGAAAGCAATTCTGAAAAAAAAACCAACAACAAACCAAACAGAATGTACTCCTTGTCTTTGTAAAGGTTATTAAACATTTTTGTGAGCTTGGTATAAATACATATTTTGGGATTGGTATGTGTCAAGGAGCATTGAGGCTGGAGTATATAAATGGCTGTCTCTGAACTTAAAGGTAAGTCATGCCATTTGATAGATGAGCTTAGTGTAGCAATTATTTGCAAAGAAAGAGTTTATCCGAAAGTCTAGGCTTAGCGGTAAGGTATTTTAAAGGATGGCAAATATAACTTACAGGTAAATTGATTTGAATTCTGAGCAGATACTAGTTATTCAGATGGATGAATGGCTTGGTTGGTTTGTTTGTTTGTTTTTTTCCCTGTTCTAGTCCAAGAAAAAGGGTCTGAATTTTGAAGAGAAGAGGGCCCGCATGATGGAGATCTTTTTTGAAACAGTAAGTAACTTGTAATTGTCCTGCATTTACATTGATGGGAAAACAGGTCCTAAAAGGAGCTTAACTGTAGATGCAGCTGAACTCTATATCCTGGCATGCATTTCACTGATGCCCTGTGACATCAGGGTATAAATTACAGGGGCAGAATTTCATTTATTTAACTTCTGATCAGGTGGCTCATCTCCTGGTGGAGCCAAGGACTGAGGATGCACAGGTAGTGTTAAATTCTTTGTGTGCTACTTATGCACATGTCATTTTGTGTCTGTTACCGTAAGAGAGGACAGCAGGAAATTAGGAAGTATCTCACTGCATTTTATGGGAGGAGGAAGAAATCTGAGCTTTAGAAAAACTGACAGCAGAGTTGGAAAGGGTCCCTGGGGAGAAGAAATCTGGAGATGCAAAAGTTGAGCTACAGTGGTATTGGTGGCACATGTAATACACCATGTTTTACCTTTTAGAAAAAATACTGTGATGCTTGAGTACTTGAGCAGTGTGCAACTGTGCTGACAGTCTAACCTGGGCTTTAAGGACTTTATAGTCTAATTTGAGATGACCAAAGGAAAGAGCAGGGCTTGTTACAATAATAGTGGTTTTCTTACTTAATTATCAGAATGTTCCAGTTCTATTGAGGAATATACAGGCTATTTCCCTCACAAAACCAAAACATACAATGCATTTCCTACTTGCTTTTGTTGGCATTGATTTAGTGTAAAAAACCGCAGGCTTAGATGATGCTTTGGAACTGAAGTGTCTTTTATGTTTTGCACAGAAAGATGTCTTTCAGTTGAAGGATCTAGAGAAGATTGCTCCAAAAGAAAAAGGGATTAGTAAGTGTTTATAAAAGCTATTTCTCTTGAGCAAGTAATCATTTTTGGGACGGGTCCTAGAGTGTAAATTTTCCTGGCTGCAATCTTAGGTTTGTGATTTTAAGAACAGAAAATGCAGCTAGAATGGGTGACTGGTCAGTGGCAGGGCTGTAGTGTTAAAAGTGATGTGGGATGAGGGCTTGCTTAGGCTCTGAATTGCAGTGACTTTCAGCTGACCTGGAACAGAGACTAGACAGAGCAAAAGGAATAAAATAGGTATTTATTGAAAGGATACACCTTGGGCAGTGCAAGAGCCCGGCCGGGGCTACACCCAAGTCAAATCCAAGATGGAACCCGGTCACAAGTTTTTACACTTTTGTAAGTTTTGATTCATCTACATATTGGGATCAATTGTCCAACCACAGTCTCAGCCCCCTGGCTTGCCCCCTTCCCTTCGCTGTTGTTTATGCTTTTTGGGTAATTGTTGTCCTTGATCCTCTAGCTAGGAAGGAATTGTTTTTTCTAATTACCCTGTGATAATACCTAATACGAAGTTTCAGAATTACACACCAAGCAGCAGAGAATCTGCAAAATAAAAGCTAAAACCCAAGGCATCATTGCATTGGAAGTGAATAAAATCAAAATCAGAATCTGTCCTGAGTCTGTAGACAGATGGCTCTAGTGCCTCTGCTGCTAAGAAATACTTTGTTAAACATTACAAAGTGAAATGTAATTATACTCCCAATCAAGAAACTTAAACAAGTTAATCCAAGCTAGAATTAAGATTGCAAGACAACTTCTCAGATACCTCTCATGGGTTTGTTTTGATGTTGTAGTGTAGCATGCATATATTTTGTGCAATACTCATAAGCAGTGTTTTGTGAACATCTCGTAGCAGATGTGCAGAATAGCAGTGTTTAGGAGCAAACTGCTGGTTTCAGAGAGATTCATCCCTTCAGGTGAAGCTTTGGGCATGTTGTCCTTGTGAAATCTTCCAGCTAGCAGACACTGGAGGAAAATACAGACAATTGCAGATGGTGGCTTGTGGTATTAATAATTCTCCATTAGTCCAGCTGCTATGCAGTTCTAATTTTACATTTTTGCTTTTATTAGCCTCGATGTCAGTGAAAGAGATACTGCAAAGCCTTGTTGATGATGGCATGGTGGACACTGATAGAATTGGAACTTCCAATTATTTCTGGGCTTTTCCCAGTAAAGCTCTTCATGCCAGGAAGCGTAAATTGGACGAGTTAGAGTCTCAGGTAAATCTCTTCTATGAAAAATACTCGTTTCTCTGAATGGGTTTGCTTTTTCCTATACTCCCTTGTCATTCTTGTTTATATCTCTCATGTGTCCAAATGTACATGTCCACACACAGAGATTTTACTATGTAATTTATCTGTCATTCATGGTAGGGCATTGGTATTATCTTACTGTTACGTCAGGAAAACTCTGGAGGTTCTTGTTGGAGCTTGAGAAAACTTTTTGTCTACTTGCTGCTGAAAGCATGTTAGTCATAATGCAAAGTATCATTTAAGGACCAAAGGTAGCATGTTTTTGCATCTTTTATATAATATAGGCCATCATGTGGTAATAACCTAAAAGTGATGAAAGCTGGAAGGCATAACCTGAGTAATTGAGGCAGTGATTTCTACTTAGCCATTGTGTTTTCATCTACTTTTATTGGTGACTTAATTTATGAGTGCTTCTGTAATCCTATACTGCACTTTTAGCAGGAGAGAAGAGCAAATTGGTCATGAATCACAGAATCAAGGAATGGTTGGGATTGGAAGGGAGACCTGCTGAAGCAAGTTCACCAGGAGCAGGTTGCGCATGATCACGTCCAGTTGGATCTGAGTATCTCCAGAGATGGAGAATTTGAACTGGGTACATCCTGCTCACATTTGCTAGCTAGTTTAAAAAAAAAAAAAAAGCCCCAACAACCCTCTCTGGCCAGGAATGAACTTGCTGAAATCAAGTGACTTCATATGTATTAAATTGTTTGTGCTAATGGGCATCGAAATAGGAAAAGTGAAAGAATGTATTTTAGTAAAAAAGGAATGCTGTATTAGTAAATGCTTATGTTAGGAATGCACATTGTTTTGAAAAGAGTTAATGTAAAAAAGTGTTCATATTGTGAGTAATCTGGCTTGAAGCCTCCCGAAGATATTTGACAACATGAGTAAACAGAACCTTCTTTGTTTAGAACTCGCACACAAAGAAATTTAGAGTTTTAACCATCAGAAAGTTCTTTCAAGATGCAGCTTGATTTATTTCTGTCCTTTTAGATATGTTTTTCCTCCTTAAATACTGTGATGGAAGGTTGCTGAATAAATCCGCTTGAGACCACTGACTGAAGCTCAGGAAACTTCTACTGTCCCTATTGTTCCAGTGTGAGCAGCCTCCTCCTTCATTCAATTGACTCACTCATTTGTTGGGGTATTTCCACATGGTTTGGAGGTTGATTCTGGACTGCAGTTAAGTACAAGCCTGGAGATGACAGATGTGCAGTGAGGGGTAGCAGGCCTGATGATGCTTGGAGCTGGATAAGTTTTGTGCCCCGGATGGAGCTTTGCATCCGCAGGGAGAGCCTGTGGGACCTAGTTCTGCACGCAAGCTTTTGGCATTGATTTTTAGAAATGTCCTCAGCAGATGGTACAGCATCAGTTCTTAGCAGAGCTTCTCACACACCTCAGATCTCTTGAAGTTTTCAGCTTCTGAAGGTTCTGTGTGCAGGATCTCACTGTTTGAGGTTTTTTTGCCTCAGTAATGATGAGCTATTCCCAGAGGTACATATGCTTTGGAATCCATGGCTTAATGCTTTTGATAGAATAGTTTGTTTTTTGGGGTGTATTCAGTGCTTTTGAAAATTCTTTGTCTATTTATTGAAAAAAAGGACTTTCAGGCATAAAATGTCTTAAAGTTTATCATGATCTTAAGCATTGCTGTAATACATTTGGAAAGCTTAGCACTATCTTTTTCATATATATTTTATTAATTTTAGGGAGTAGATAGCATGGTTAAAGAATTGCCCCCCAAGCCAGAGAAGTACCTTAGAATGTTTGCAAATAATATGTGTGACTTACGTTAGGAACTACTTGTTTAGACATTTTTCTCATTCATTAGTTTAGACATTTGTATGCTTACAATTTAATTTTATTAGGTTGCAGAAAATGTAATAAATTGTTCCTTTCCAGGAAAAATAAAATTCTGATTGAAGAGGTCTTTCTTTTAATGCTCATTATAAGGCCTTGAGCAATGTGGTCTAGTGGGAATGTCCCTGCCCATGGCAGTGAGAGTTGGGACTGGATGGTCTTTAAGAACCCTTCCAACCCTTAACATTCTATTATTCTGTAATATGTAGGCAAGATCCCAGTGTGTTGACTAAGCTATTAGAGCAGTCTTACCATATGCATGCTGGGCATCCTTTTTTCCCCTCTTATTTGAGGACATGTCATTTCGCTTTCTATTTATTTATTTATTTACTTAGTTATTCTTCCTTGGATTGCCCTGACCATTTTGATAGTCTGCAACCCCCGTGAGCTGGATGATTCCATTCTGTGCTGGCTCACTTTTTTTTCCCTCTTGCATAGTAATTATAGAGACAATTAGTGACCTCTCCCATCTTCAGCCTCCTGGCTTCCACTGATGTGTAGGTTTTATTTGAACTGAAGGACTAGACTTAAAAAGCGATGGTCTACTGCAGAGGTGGTATGGTATGACTAATGCACTTCAAACCATCTAGGGGGAGCTGTAGTAATAAGGGCAAGAGGATGAGAATTTGCATTATTTAAGCATTGTGAATATGTTGATTATATCTATGCCTGTTTGTTCATTGATCCTGTAAGGCTTATTCCCTCTATTAGTCTCCTGGAAAATGCTAATAAAATGTTATTGGAATAGTCCATGATTTTTGTTACCTCTGCATCTTACACTTGAAAAATGGTGATATCTTAAATTGAGTCTGCATTTACTAAGTCCTAAAATGTCCATTAGAGAAGACTCTTGTAATTCTGTAATCAATTAGAGCCTTCTGGAATTATGTTTTATGGCATGCTATAAAGCCCTGGAGAGTATGCTTAGTTACTGCTGCTATGGCAGATTTCTAAAAAATACAGTGCTCTGGAGGCTTCTGTTGGAATTAAGCAACTTCATAATTTGCTGTTCGTTAGCTGAATTTCATGCTTTTCCTTTTATTTGCTGTTAATACGTAACTAGCTTGATGGCAACTGTGAAGTGTAGGTATTCCTTTCCTTCCTTCTTGATGAGCATAAGGTAAAATTGGCATGATTTAAGAGCAATTTCAAAACTGTCTCTGTAATAACTAAAGATTTTAATGTAGGTTTGAAAGAAGATTCCTACTATACTAAATAGTAAAGAATATATCAATATTAACTCTAATATAATGCAGGAAAACCACTAGGTTTTTCAGACAGGATTATATGTGATGCTGAATTTTTTAGGTAATATCATCACACAGTTACCTTTTTGAAGTTATTTGCATTCTAGTTGCTGGCTCCACTCGTGGTATTGCAGTGAAATTGTTAATCTGAAATTAAAAGAAACTGGAAATACAAACAGGGCTCTCACTGCAGAAGCCCAGTCAGGTCTGTCAGAGACATAGCCCTGCGCTTCTCCCTGTGTCCCATGGTTAGCATGGCAGGTGGGAATGACTGTTCAGCAGATCAGCAGAAAACCAGCATCCCAAGAAACTTTAAAGGCTTAAATGTTCTGTGCAGTTTGGAAGTTTGCCTATACTGTAAGGCCAGGAGCTTCCAGCCTGGTGATAGGCAGCCAATACTACTTTCAAATCTGGATTTGATGGAGACAGTGAGTTGTAATTATGTTTAATTTGAACTTTGACTTTCATCTTAAAATCTTGTAATTCAATTAATGTAGCATATTTTAATTTAGAAAAGTAGCATGCGTGCAGAAATAAAAACTACCAGCAAGCAATTATAGAAGTCTCACTTCATAGAATTTTCCTCTTCTGAAAGGAATAAAATTAAAAACAAAAAGAACAACAAAACAAAAAAAGCACCAAAAAACCAAAACAAAACAAAAACCCGAAAAAAACAGAGTATAAAACCAAAATGTGTTATTTTGATGCAGGGAGGCCTTAGAGGAAAAGGTCTTTCTTGTCATAGCCAAACAGCTCATTATTCTTGAACACGTGGTAATTCCATGAAAGACTCTTCTTTGTATCAGAAATTGGAGATGACTCGGTGATCTGTCTAAGCATTACTTAAAACTTATAAAATTGGCATGAAGAGTGAGTATGTAAAACTGCTGTCAAAACTCTGAAATTTGATGGATGTATTTTACTGAGGTTTTTTTATTTTGCTGATAATATCTCAGTGTAGAATTTGGACATTTCTAAAAGTCTGTGGAATAAAGTTTGATTTGATTTTTAAAGTCTTTGAGCAGAACGTGAGCTTGGGGAATATTGGATGAATATTGTGTTTTAACTTCTGCCTGTGTCTACTTAGTCCCTGAAGACATTGTCAGGCATGGTCCTGCTGCTTAGGATAGCAATCTTTATAAACCCTTTAGGGAAAAATTAAAATTTCTCTCTGTTCTTTCCCTCTCTTTCCAAGGGAAGATAACTTTCTGTGGTCTTCCTGCCTTGAACAGACCTGTTTACTACCTTGGACTTTGTAGGTTTATTAAATACCCTAATATGCAGTAACAAGCATATTCTTCATGTCCAGGTATGAAAATTTTCTGTAGTTCTGTCAGTATGTGAATGTCTTTTGAAGTTCTTTCAGCTTTTCTTATTTGATTGCCCGCATTTGTGAAACAGCGTTAAATGAGGTGTTTCAGCTGTTTTTTTGTTGGTTTGGGGTTTTTTTAATTCAATTGGGGTGTACTTGGTATTTGTATCTGAGTTGACAGCCATCTGTCCCTCAGGTCGTGCCAATTACGCCAACTTTGAAAACAGGCACAGAAATTCAATTATTTCATTGACCCTGCACAGCTGTTTATTTCACCTTTTGTCTTTTAAGGAGGCTGGCTCGAGCAGTTATTTTTTATTGTGCAACCACTATTTATCAAATGGTGTTGTAAATGAACGAAGCAAAACCAAAAGCTCTTGACAAGACATTTGCTCTAAATTATCTTAATTATTATGGCAAATCTAAAAATATGGAAAATAATTAAATTAGAATACTTCTAATGTAGAGGGATTTGCTCTATAGTAATATTTTAAAAATAATTGCAGGTAACCAGATCAGGTTTGTACATGGATGGGTGAAGGGTCCAG